CTACGTTATTTAGCTAAAAAAAAAAACGTAACGGAGCTAAAAGCCTATTAAAATATTAGATATCTAGCTTGCCCGTAAAGAATTACGTCCTAGCTAAGGGGGTGTATTAGATAATACCTATTATGTTCCTAGACCGTGGGGATATGTCTTTTTTGGTTCTATGGTATAATAGTATTATTTAATAATTATTAGCTTTACGCGTTTAATTAAATAATATAAAAACGCTAAAATAAAAATAAATTAATAATAGCAAATTACGATATTTATCGGTGGCTATAAAAAAAATACCTATATATAAATAAAAAGTATTAACGCTATTTTTTTATATACGGAAATAATTATAACAAAATTTAATTCGAATTTTATTAACGAATATAAAAATAAAATCGGAAGCGAGAAAAGGCGCCGTAATAATAATAATAACGGTAATAATAATAAAAATAATAACGGTAAAAATAACGGTAAAAATAATAAAAAAAAGCGTAAACTTAAATTTCATAAAAAAAAAAGCTTTTTTTGCTATAATTATAATAAATATAGGCATATCGCTAAAGATTATCCTAAGCTAAAAAAAAACAAAAAAATAATAACGCGAATAATATAACGTTAGGAGGATTATAAAGTAATAATAAATTAATCCCAAAATTAGAAAATTATAATAAAAAATCCGGCTATAATATAACCGTTATCGTAAAACAAAATAATATGCAAATTTAAATATAAATATAATAGGAATACGATTAGTTTTTAATTAATAAAAATTCGTAATTAAAAAATAATAATTCCTTTTAGCCGCTTAATAATAACGTTAAAAATATTATAATATTATTTATTACTTTTAATAATAATATAAGCGTAATTTATAACCTTTTGCTTAACTTTTTAATTTTTTTTCGATCCTAATATTTACGTAAATTTAATATATTATATAAAAAGCATTAAACGCTTATTATTATTTAATATTAAATTAAATATTAATATTACCTTTAACGCAAATAATTTTAAAAAAGGCACCGTAATAAATTTTATATAAAAAGAATTTAGGGTTAATATAAATAAAAGACTAATTTATGCCTAATAAATCGGATTTAATAAAGAGTTTTTAATAAAGGCAAAAAAAAAATAATTATAAGTATATTAAAGACCTTTTATATTAAAGATTTCCTTATAAAAATTATATTAAGCAAACGCTAATATTTAACGAAAGGTTTTATTTATAAAAATAATTTAATAAATAAAAACGGTAAAATAGTAATTTTTTTTAATATTTTTAAACGTAGCTTTTATTTATAATAATTCGAAAAATTAAAATTTTAAATATATTTAATAGTAGCGCTAATTAATTTGTAATAGGATTTTTAACGGTATAAAACGCTTAAAATCGGCAATAACGAAATTAAAAGACTAATTAAAGCAATATTTAAAATTAATAATATATTTAACGATATTAGGCTAATAAAATGCTTAATTTAATAGTTTATTTTTTAATATTACCGTTTATGCTATTTAAGCGCCGAAAAATTATAATAAATTATTTAACGGACGATTAAAATCGGTTTTAAAACCAGGTAAATAATATAATTGCTTTATTTAGCGTATAATTAAGCGAAAGCGTTAAAAACGCCTTTTTAGCAACCGTAAAAAAGAGTTAATGCGGTAGGTAAAATTATTTAATATAATTTTAAATCGATTAAACCGGTAATTATTAAAAATAAAAATTACTTTAGCTTAATTATAAATAATAAAAATAAGGAAAAAATATTTATATTTTATCGAACTAAAAATAAAATATAATTTATATTATTTATTTACGTTAATAAAACCTTAGCGCGCTTATAAATACGAATTTTAAATATAAACGGATCGTAGGTTAAATTAAAAACTATTAAAATTAATAAAAAAAAAAATTTGCGTTTAAAAAATTTACGAAAAAATATAATATTAATAAAATCGAAGTAATCCTATCGTTTATATATAATTAATATTAAAACGGTATTACTAAAAAAAGATTAAATTTTTTTAAAATAAAGCAAAAGCTATAATTATTTAAATAAAAATTCTTATTTATTTTTAAGACCACGTTTTTTTAATAATATATTATATAATTAATCGTATAAATTAATTTATAATTAAGGATTTTACCTTTTATAAAATATATTAAAATAAAATAAAGCTTATAAAAAAAAGGAACGCGCTTATACCAGCCTAATAACTTAAAATTATTAATTTTTAATAACCGCTATATAGCGTATATCGATCGGAATAAAAAAACGCGTAATAAAAAGCTATATTTAAACGGGGTAAAAGCTTTATTTTTTAATTATTAAAAAAATAAAAATTATATAATATAATTAATTAAAAATAATCGCATTTTAATTATTTTATATATTACTTTTTATAAATATTTAAAAAACGCAAAAAATACGCTTAATCCGGCTAATATAATAAAATCTTTGCTATAATATATATAGCGACGATTGCGGTATAAACCTAAGCTTATAAAAGGCTGGATTTAGGATTTTAATTATAACGTTATTCCTAAAAATATTACCGATTTTAAAAATAGCCTTATTAAACGAAAACGCGGCCGCTTTAAAAAAAAACCGATATATACCAAACCTAAGTGCTTAAAGCCTTTAAAAATAACGATTTTATTTATTATACCTTTTAGCAAAAAGGCGAGTTTTTAATTTTTTTTTTAATTAACGCAATAAATTTCGCGAATTAATAAAGTATATATTTATATTTTTTTTTTAAAAAGGCGTATAAAATTAATAAAATTAATAAATTTAATTTTTACGATTTTTCGGCTAATAAATTTCGCGAATTAAGCCTTAGCTTTAGCCGTATTAAAAAAAGCGATGGCGATAACGGTAAAAATAAAAATAAGCGCCCTTATCCCTAAAATTCTTTTACGGCGGCGAACCTTAATAAAGGCGAAAATTAGCTATTTAATTTTATAGCTATATATAAAAAAAATAAGCTATATAAAATATTAAAAATAAATTTACCGAAAAATCTTATATTTAAAAAAGCTATAGCTAAGCTAAAAAAAATTAATAATAAAAGGCGATTTATTAAAAAATTTTAAAAAATATATAAAAAAATATTTTGTAATTTATATAAAAAAATAAAGCCGATTATAATTATTTTATTAATAGTAAATAAATACTAAAAAAAATTTAATAATAATGGCACGCTTAAAAAATATAAAGCGTATATTATAACGTATAAATTTATATAACGCTTAAATATTAATTATAACGAAATAATCGCAATTATAGCAAAAACCGCTTTATAAAAAATATTAATAGCTTTCGCCGCTTTAAAAAGCTAATTTATTTTATAAATTAATTTTATATTTATATTTTTTAATAATAATTTATATAAAAAAATTTATATAAAGCAATTTTTCGGCTTATTATAATTTTTCGAATAATTTACGAAGCTAGCGCGTAAAAAAGGCTATTTAAAAAAAATTATCCGGATTTTAAATTCGTTATATAAGCTAAAGCAAATAGCTATTAAATAGTAATATAAAACGAAATCGCTAATAAAAAAATATAAATTTATTTTTTTTATATTTAATAACGCGGTATTTTATAATTTATAAATTAGGGATATCGTAATAATATATATAAATAACTTTTTATTATTTAAGCTAAATAAAAAGCGCTTTAAAGATTTTATTGGTTTATTTAAAACTAAAATTAAGCTAAAAGATTTAGGAAATATAAAATAATTTTTTAATATAAAAATCCGGCGTAGCAATTTTATTAAAAAATATTAAAATTAATATTAAATAATATTTTAATAAAATATTTAATTTTTATAATTTTACAAAATTTAAAAAAAAAATAGCAAACCCGATAAATCCGGGAATATTATACGAGATTTATTTAAACGAAAATAAAGCTATAATTAAAAAAATTTATAATTACGCGTTAATAATTAGCAAATTTAATTTTTCGTTTTATATACTAAAAATAAATACGGTATTTATAATATTTATATAAGCTAAATTTATAGCAAGTCTTTTATAAATATATTAATAAAAATTAAAAAAAATATTATAATATTTAAAAACGAATATTAAAAAAATAATTAAATATCGTAACCTAAAAATAAATAAAATTATATATTTATATAAGTAATATAATAAATTAAAACTATTTAAGGCTATAAATTTTAGCTACGCTTTAAATTTAAAAAAATTAAAATTAATTATCGGCTATATATTTTTTATAAGCGGAAAATTAATTTTATAGCGATTATATAAATAATTATTTATAACGAAAGCATTTATAATAATAAAATATATAGCTATTTTAAAGGCTATAAATAAAATTATATAAATTCGAAACTTTTTAATTAAGCTTAAATTAATGCCGGAAAATCCGATTACGCTATTTAAAAATAATATTAAGGCTAAAAAATAGGCCAAATTTACGAATATAACGAAAAAAAAAAAGCACCTAAAGCTATATATATACGCTATTCGTAATAAAATTATAAAAGGTAAAATTAAAATAAAATAAGCACCGACGAACCTAAATTTAGCCGATAAATTTACGAAGCTATTTAACGGGAATAAATACTAAAAATTTATTAATTTATTAAGCCTAAAAATTTACGAATAACTTTAGCGGCTTAGCGAAAAAGCGTATTAGCGAAAAGCGCTAAAGCCTGCTAATACTTATAATTAATAAAAAATCGTAAAAAAATCTAAAAACGGCTATAGCCGGGTGCCTACGGCTTTATTACCGTAAATAGCTATATAAACGGGAAATTAGCAGTTTTTAGGCTTATAAATAATTATTATATCGCATCCTTTAATTAATTCCCTTTTTGCTATCGTTTATGCAGTTCTGCAGTCTTGTGAACCTCGTAAGATTGTTTATAAAAACTCTATATTTAACCAACAGCTCGCGGAATATAACAGGCACCGCAAGGGCCAAGGAAGGTGGGGTAAATACACATTCGCTTCCAACGAGACGAGACTAAAGGCTGCGATCGAGCTCGTCCAGAAGAGATCGACAGCCAGGATCAGGAATGGCATCCAACTCGAGCGTTTCCACGACGCTCATTGCGTTCCAAAGGTGACGTAAGGAGATTTGTTGGGATTCCTTGTCATGCGAATCGCTAGTCGTGTACTTGGCAAAAGTCACGCGTTCAATGCGAGATGGAATACAAGAGACCTTGATGAGGGCGACGTAAGCCTTGAGAAGACTCAGGACTGGATTGAATTTGAGGCGATCGTTGACCTTGGCGACTAAGAAGTCATGCATTTCCCGAGTTCTTAAGAAGTCTCGGACGGTTCGGTGCAAGAAATTCACCGTCCCACTGGGAGAATGGACCTCGAGAAGTCCTCGGGTTCTGCTATCAAGATGCCACGTCATATCACTTTTGATTTGTTGGATATTTTCCTGGTCCATGAGCCTGATTGGAAGATTAAGTGCATAGTTCAAATCTTCGTATTCTTGGATATGGAAATGATACCCAAGAAATCCGAGGGATTCGTTACCAGCCTGAAGTGCAACTTGTAATATAGTTGACATATGGCTGTGGTAGAATGGTTCGACAGATTCTAATATTGCCTTGAAGAATGATTCCAGCTCCGTCGGAAAACTTTGCAGTCTGCGATACAGATCAGATAGTCTATCACGGTTGGTGAGGCCTTGCTTGAGGAGTTTCATGACAAGGCGCACCCAAAGGAAGACGCCTTCGGACCTTTTTGTGATCTCTGAGATCAAGAATTGCCTTTGCGAGTCAATTCCAGAAATGACAGGCCATCGCGGGTGTTCTTGGAGGCTGCTCTGGGCGTAAGCCTGAATATCATCATGCGTCAAATCTTGAACGTAGAGTTTTGGAAACAACGATCCAAACTGCTCCTCGAAGATGTTCCAGGGGCGGCTCGACAGAACTAGTTTAACATTTTCCAAGGTAGCGAGCTCTTTCAATGTCCGACAAAGATTTGTCTGAGCTTCATGATCGCCATCAAATTCGTCCATGCCATCAACAAAGAAACAGAACTTTGGATCGATCGAGTCCCTACAAGAAACGCTCTTCAAGGTTTCGTGTAATTCGGATAGGGACCACGGATCGTCAAGATGTTCATTTACCCTTCGATGAGAGCACGTCTCTTGTATCAAATACGGGCATTGTCTGAAAATGTCGTAGAGTAAGCTCTGGAGGAGACCCTGATGCGACTTTTGCTTTGGTGTTCCCGCAATCCAGAAGTAGTGGCTCGCAATGAAGGCTCTACTTGGTTGGGCCCACTGACTGACCAATTGAGATGTGGTCCTCGAGTCGGCAATAAACTTCATAAGTGTCGATTTGCCAGAACCTGGTTTGCCGGCGATCCAGAGTATGCCAGTCCCTTTTGCCAGCCATTCGCCTATCATAGAACCACTATGATTAGGATCTTTTTTTAGCGCCCATTTAAATGTCTCGGCATGAGCTTTTGGAATTTGCTCATGCCTAATGGGGCGACTATCAAAAGTGAGGCTTTGCAAGATAGACTGCTCTCGGGCAACGTCATGTCCTGAGAGAGACAGAGACTGCAGTCGCTCTTTTAAGCAATCGACATCTTGTGCAGTGAAAATATCTTCGTCTTTTCGAGACTTGATGCCAGCCTCCACGTCGTCTAGTTTCTTGCTGATACACTTCAACGTGTCTGCTTGATTTGACTGTAGTCGAATGCTTTGGCGTTGCAGGTCTTCCAGTTGATTTGACTGAGAGCGACAGGAATAACTGGAGATTATCCTTAGCCAAATGCAGGAAGGGTAGAGAATTGAAATGTCAGATTATGCCAAATTAGTGAAATCACTTACTGTGCCAGAATACAGATGTGCAGGGTCAATGTGTGCTGAGTTTTGGAGAGTCTTTGCTCAAGTTCATCAATCGTCTTCTTTCCCCAAACTGTTCTCAAGGCAACGCGGAAGCTGCTCCATTTTCCATTAAGCCCAGTTTTCGTCTTGAATTTTAAAAGTAATTGGAGAAGATCATTGCAGTCCTTTTTACAAATCTCGGACAAGTCCTCGATAGCAACAGCGAGTTGTACGACGTAGTCCTGGTCATCCTTGCCCAAGTTTCGTTGCTTAACGGACACCTCCAGTCCAGTACACAATCTTCTTAAATCATTGTATACCGAGTCAAGCTTAGAAACGTCAGCACTGCATCCATTTGGCGATGTGCTGATTTCAATGGCGCCTTTGATGAGGTCCGATGTGAATGAGACACATGCAAACACGTTAGCGGCCAGCCCTAGGGCCGTCAACGGATCCATGGTGAATTCGGTTCCGAAGGGCGCAGGTAGCATGGCCTGGGGGAAAAGAGGAGTTGCACCCAATTGAGACGAAGGCAATGTTAAGAAAACATTATCTGTACTATGTAGGGCCAATGCGGGGGGCAATAGCGGCCTGAGTGCATAAGGCAGCAACGCATATCGTTTGAGCCTACAGTGGCTTTGACGCCAGGATTACGCCTGTCGCTCTGCCTTACCACTGCCGCCCAACAAAATCTTGAAGTATCTGCATGATTCCCCAGATGGTGTGGTGGCAGGCAGTTATTAATTGGGTGGAGGCTTACACCGCCCACTTTAGGCAACGTCGATACCAAAGACTGAAGGCTGGGACTCGGTCTCAAGGTACGATGTCGGAGTCGACGACGAGAGGCCGGCTGAGCCCTCCGCATCAATGAACTTGCGAAACCATGTGCGAAGTCTTGGTGCCAAGCTCAAATCAATTTCCGACTAGTAAGAGTTTGACGGCATATCACCACCGACAAGCCATTGATTAGTTGTTGGCAACGTTGCCGTCCTTACAGCGCCATCTCCAGTGCAATAAAGATAGGGTTTCTTGACTGTATTTGAAACGATAAGAAGATACAAAATGCTTAGTAGCACATTAAGCAATTACATAATATCATTGTTTGTGTCCAACTGCCCTTTTATGAGTAACTGCCGCTCAGCCCGGATGCTGTCAAAGCCAGCGGGCCGCAGTCCGTCACGTCGCCTCCCGTCAAAATATATCGAAGATCCCCATTGGTCATCAAGATTTCCGGGCCTTCTTCCGGATCCTGTGCGATAAACACCTTGTTCAATTGCCCGTCCAGGGCACAGACGATGGGCCAAAAGTAGTTTCCACTTGTATCCAGCGCAACTAGGACCTCGTTTCCATTGCCGTCATTGAAAGGTACAAAGCTCGCAAGCTGAGCTCCCTTTGGAATGCTACCCCAGGCCCCAAGTCTGAAACGCGAAACCGACAACTTGGACATCTCATCGGGATAGTAGTAGAGCAGACGACTGGTTTCGCTGTTGTCACCCATGACGGTCAAGCTATCCGTGTAGGCAACGAACTCGGAATTGCCCGGAACGAGATTGGTAATGCTGGCAGCATCCTCGGGAAGCGATATGAAGAGGTTTCCATCGACGCCGGGGTTGAGTTGCAGCGTGCCAGTCGTATCCATGATGGTGACATTTATACTGGTGTCTGTAGTGGCAGAGTCGGTGGCGGACGCGTCGCTGGCTGATGTAGTGCTGGTAGTTGCAGTTGCTGACTCCTTGCCGGACGAATCCAAGGTCTCGTCAGTTGTCGCATCAGTGCTGGTAGTCGCCTCGTCACCATCATCGCGCAGCTGGAGATGGCTGTCGAAGAAGCGCCTCTCGACATGGGTTTGAATGATGGGTGCCAGTTTTGGGAAGCAACTGACACCGCCAATGGAGAGTGCGAAAACATATGCTGCCTTCATCTTGACTGCGTTCAACTGTAACGATCGTGGGTGAGACCTTTCAATTGATCAGCCGGTTGGGCTGCTGTAGCAATGCGAAAAAGATGTAGAAGGCCGACAAAAAAGAGAGGCACTGTCGCTGGGGCCCGCTCTACTGTATAAGCGCAATGATATCTTGTTGAGGAAGCATCAGACGAAGATCTAGACAAGCCACGCGACGAATTCTGCCATGGCGCTCGCAACTGGACATTGCGCTCTTCGTCGTTGCAATAGTGACAGAGCCACTGCTCCAAAAGCAGCTGGAGTTCCGATTCAGCTGGGAACTAAAAGGAGCTTGAATCTAGTGTTATAGTCTGCCTTCATCTCGGAGTAGTTAGAACCAACGAGAGTCTTGGCATTCTTAGAAAAACATCTCGAAATCTAGACCACTCGCAACAGCCGAGTTTATATGGGGGTGGGGAATTATTACAGATTTGCCTCTTCCAGAAGTAGAAATGGACGAGCCTGATGCAGTCTAGCTTCAGAATTAAGCAATTTCCACCGTACGCACGCAATTCCCGGTGCATGCAAATGGCCTGCGCCGCCTGGCTGGGCCTAGCCAGAAAGCCAAATCGCAACAAGCTTAGTTCAACGCTCAAGCAGGTCAGGCGCTACCCCCCTTTAGCACGGCAGTGGTGTTTTGATGGCCGAGTCCCGAAGATGTAGAATTGCCGGATTAGTCGGATGACTGCAGCTCTGCGGGCGGGTCATATCGCGTCGTCTTCAGCTCCGGTATAACGGCGCCACTCGACCCAGCTCTCGATAGACCATTTCGGCCCCTTGCGTATTCAGGACGGCTGAGATCAGGCTCACTAGGAAGCGTCCTCCTTAGCGCACCTAGGCGCCCAGCAAGCCCAACGCGAAGACACAGGTCAACAGATCAGAATGCAGTGGGTTCAATATAAGAAGAGACCCTTGGGCCTGGGGCGCTGGTGGCCGTCCTGAGAGAACATGTTGCTGTTGTTGTAGTTCAAACATTGACATCGACAACGCCGCGATGCAGTTGCTCTGGCCTGCAGTTGCCTTCCTGGCAAGCTTGCCGTTACCTGCAGCGGCAAAATGTCATCGTGCCAATCCTTCGCTCATTACTTCTGGTGCGCCAGGTCTAGCCATCGACGGCCAAACTCCTACAAAAACTTCTTCGCTCGTTTCTTCCCCATCGGTCAGCACTCATGCGACGTCCTCAATCGTTTCTCCTTCTTCAGTCAGCGGCTATGCGACTAGTTCACTTGCTCTGGCGGCAGCTTCCGCCAGCCCTTCAATTTCAGGTTCATCCTTTTCAGGTTCACGGTCATCAGGCTCTCTGAGTCCTAGTGAATCATCACCAATCAGCTCATCATTGATTTCGATATCCTCCCAGGATGAAGCCACTCCTACATCGCAATCCGGTTCGACCACATCCCTGACGGTCAACAGCGATACGCTGGCCAGCTCGGGGTCTTCCAGCTCGAGCGATTCTGCATCATCTAGCTTATCTTTAAGCTCCTCTTTCTCGGAGACTTCATCTGGCACAGAGTCCTCTGCGACTGGAACGCAAACGTACAGCTCGGCTGTGTCTTCCGGCTCGGCCAGTACGACTGAGTCTTCTGATCAGGCAACAGTCACTACTTCTAGCACAAGCATAACTGTCTCTGACACTTCATCGGGTGCGACGGAAACTTCCAGCCAAGCTGTCTCGACATCGTCGATGCTGGCCTCGAGCACCGAGTTCAGTGAGTCGACTGCATCCTCTGACTCGGCGACAATCACCGATTCTAGCACCGGCGCCACTACGACTGTGTTCCCCACCGATGCAGTTGGCACAACGTCAGAGTTCGATGGGCCAATCACTCTTGAGGCTGCGCCAACCGTCACTCTCATGCCAGCACCCCCTTACGGACTGGATCAAGGAAGTCTTGACGTCGTCACTCCCGCTGATACGAACGCGCTGTGGTATACCTCTCCCGCCAACGAATCAGCCGAAATCACAGCCACCATCATGAGATTGAACTTGACATACCTCTACTCCTCGATCGCCCTTGACCAGTCAATCTACATTGAGAGTGTGATTTGCTCTGGAAGCACGATCACCATCACCTTCAATGAGACGGAGATCTTTTCATACATCAAGCCAATCTGGCAGTCCTATTCGCAGATTCTCTTCATTACGGCAGCAACGTCGTGTTCTGCAGATGGTCAAAACGTCTTCTTCCTTACCGGCGGCTCTCCCGTCTGCCAAGAGGCCATGTCTACATGCACTGCTACTGGTTCGTTTGAGGAGCTAGCCGATGTCTACAGCGAGATGGGGGCCGACTGGGGCGCCATCGATGTTGAAGACTCAACAGCTACAACAACCACGACGTCCTCCTCAGCTTGTAGCTCACCTCCAGCCTCGGAAATTTCTGGTCTCCCAGCCGCGTCGTGTGGCAGTGACTTTGATTCCCTGCTCGACTCCAAATTGGGTTTTTATAGCGGCGACGACTCTGATATTGATTCAGTCATGGCACTGATTGCCCCTGGAACACAAACCAAGTTGTCTCCGAGAGGTTTCTGGTCGTCGCTCAAGAAGGCCGTTAGCTCGGTCAAGGCTGCCGTGAAGTCTGTCGCGAAGACTGTTGCCACAGCAGTCGTCAAGGTGGCCGCCAAGGTAGTCACTTCGGCAGCAAAGTACGTGGTCTCAGCTGCCAAGTCGATTGCCAAGACTGTTGTCACCATAGCAAAGACAGTATACAATGTCGTCAAATTCCTAGTCACGGGCGACTACAATCAGACGTTCAACATGAATATGAATGTGGCCCCACCAGATAGCCTGCTCGTCAAGTCACCTTGGGACGATCAGCTCGGTTTCAAATTCTATCACTTTGCAGTTGACCCGAAGGATAGCGGTTACAGCTTGTGGGACAATGCTATTGACCTAATCACTGACGAGCTCGGAGCCAATGCAAAGGCAGAACCCGGTGTCGACTATTGGTGCATCAACTGTGGAATCAAGGGCAACATCCAGGCAACAGGGACGCTCAAGGCCAACCTGGGTGGCATTAAGAATGCGGAATTGAAGATCAATGGCAATCTGTACGCTGGGCTATTCGTTGGTGTTGATGCATTTGCCACCATCAAGAAGAAGAACACCAAGACCCTGTTCAAGAGAGGACTGCCGGCGCTCACAATTCCCAAGATCTTTGTACTTGGTCCTAGTGTCAGTCTAGGTGTATCTGCCGAAGCTCGTATTGAGCTTATTGGACGGGCTCTTGCCGGTGCCTCTCTAAACTGGGAGAAGATCAATGGCACAATCAACTTCCTTGACAAGACAAAGACGGTCACATCCGGTTTCACCCCCGTGCTGAACGGCACTCTGCAAACGACCAAGAAATCCAAGATCATCTTGTCCCTGGGCCTGCCAGTCGCCATCGAGTTTGGCTTGGACCTTTTGGATGGCACATGGAAAAAGGAGGCTTCCCTCACCGAGACACCGTCACTTCAGGCCGTGTTGGATTACGAAGAGACGGTCAAGATCAGCGGTACAACGGAGAATGGCGGCTGCGGAAGTGTCGATACAACGCCTAGCACCAAGTGCTACGGCGTCTACTGGAACATCACGGCTGTCAACGATGTCGAGTTGAATCTATTCGACGTTGTCGACTATAATCTGTTCCACTGGGAGAGCAAGGTCATTGCCCAGGGCTGTGTTGGTACATGGGCCGACAACAGTAGTTCGATTGACACCTGTTCCAGCGACAACTCCACTTCTTCAACATCCAGCGTAGCCACTATCACGGCGACAACAATTCAAACCTCGCCCATGGCAACGACGGCGGCTCAAATCACCACATCGTCTACCGTCCTCAAGGCTAATTTGACAACGTCCACCGCGGTGACCTCCACCACAGTGACCTCCACCACAGTGACCTCCACCACAGTGACCTCCACCACAGTGACCTCCACCACAGTGACCTCCACCACAGCAGCTTGCACATCTTCTCAGGGAATGAAGTGGGCCTACTATAACGCTAGTGCCGTGAGCAGTGTTGAAGCCGTCAGCACCATGGCACCGTTGGCGACTGGCCTCGCCCAGAACGGCATTGGCAACTTTTATGCAAACGAGGGCTCAACGCTCACTTACATTGAGGGGTCCTCCACATCGCTTTCTTCAATCAGATTCATACTCGATTATGTTGGCTACATCTACGCTACCACGTCTGGAACGTATACCTTCTATGCTTGGGGCGTAGATGATGAGTTCTACATGTGGTGGGGCTCACAAGCGTATAGCGGCTGGAACAGCACCAACTACAACATCGACCAGAAGCTCTACGCTGGCTATAAGACGGCCACTATTACTCTCACGAAGGGCACCTACTTGCCGCTGCGGATCTTGTACAGGCAAGATACTGGACCCGGATACTTCAATATCAATCTTTACGATCCCAATGGAAATGACTTGCTCAGTATCGAGGATACCAGTGCTGGCAAGCAGGCCATCTTTACTAATACTTGCGATGGCCAGGCACCAGCCTTTCAGTCATGGGGCAGCGAGTCTTAGTTGTTCTGTAGATTGTTCTAAATACTAATCAAGACTATTCATACTGACCTCATATCACCAACCATTGACTTGAAATACTCTACGAGAATGATGACATGTAGGCAATCATGAATATATCTTTTCAGGGCTGTGCCGCGAGAATGTGCTTGATGGGGATCTGATAGAATTAGCCAATTTTTGCAGCGCGATTTAATAGCCCCCCCCCCCCCCCAAAAGAAAAAGTCATTTCCCTCAGGGCGATTGAAGTACCTGCAATGTCCCGAACGACATCCATACATCTGTCACAAAATGCATTTCGGCTGCTAGTCGCCGAAGCTCCATTCCGTCGGAACGGGGCCGACGATTTTGTTTTTGACCGCCTGTAATCGAGGGCCGATAGAAATAATAAATATCGAACAGAATAACCCAACTACCACGGCCAATTGCCGGATCCTACGTCATATTGGGGAACAAGTCCCTTGCCTCGGGAAATTTCACCAGATTCGCACAACTTTGTGGATCCCCCATGTTGTCACGAGAGACACCCCGAGCCACGATATTGGAGCACTTTGTCTTTGTATTCTCCACTTCCCCATACTGTACCCCGAAATCCCCGCATGTCGCTTTGAGGCTGGAGACATGTCCCAGTCCGTGTGTATAAAGGCCGTTCACTGGCTGATAGCCGGCTTAGCCCTCGTCGTTGGTTGTTGGGCATCTGGGCTGTTTACTTGTGAAAGTGTGCGCGATCAATTTGTTGACATCATGGCTCGTCTCGGTCTGTCAACAGTTGCGGCTATTTTTGCACAAGCAGTTACCTCTGTGACTGCCACCGGTTCTGAGCAATGTAGCAGTTTGACTGCATGTGGTATCTCCTTTGGTGAGGCGGTCAGTATTGTCAATACGACTTCCATACCAGCGTCTGGTTTGAATATATCGGGGACTGTCAACACCATTCCATTCTGTCGTGTCTTTGCCGAGGTGTCATATGCCAACAACCATTCGGTCGGGTTCGAAGTATGGCTACCAGAAGGGACAGACTACAATGGGAGGTTTCTTGCTGTCGGCATGTCTACCCTGGACTTTTGACCATGCATTCTCGCTGACGAAGGACATAGGCAATGGAGGCATGGCAGGGATTGTCGACGAAGCGGCCCTGATGCTCAACGTGAATAAGGGCTTTGCTGTTGCCGGTGGAGATTCCGGCCATCTTGCATCCGAGAACAATGACGGCGAAGGCAGCCCCGGTGTATACATCCCATATCTTCATGACAAGGATGAGGTTTCTGCGTGGATTCACAACTCCATCGCACTATTCACACCGCCGGCCAGGAAAGTTATCGAATACGTGTACGGCAGCGCCCCGACTTATTCGTATTACCTTGGCTGTTCGACGGGTGGTGCCCAAGGCTTTTCTCTCGCTCAGTTCCATCCAGAGCTATTTGATGGAATCGTTGCCGGCTGTCCGGGTAACTGGTACTCACATCTCGCCCTGTCATTTTTATGGAATACTATACCATCAACAGTCAGTACCTCTCATTTCAAATTTGGCTAAAAGGTGAGTTTGACTGACGATCCAAAAATAGAGCTTAGGCTTTCTCCCACAAGAGACTCTCGACTACATCAAGTCAGCAGTAGTTTCTGCATGCGACGAGCAAGATGGTGTTCTCGACGGTCTGATTGAGGATCCATTATCATGCAAGTTTGACATTGCATCTCTGAGCTGTGCTGTCAATGAATCTGTGCAATGCTTGACTACCGAGCAACTGGCATCAGCTCTGCATATCTATGGCGGACCCCACGATAGTAGAGACAACTCGAGCCTCTATCCTGGATTTTCGTTTGGCAGTGAATCAGAATGGATGTATCAGGAGGACATGCTGGCGGACGCCTTTACCATTCCGATTTTGCAGAACCTCGTTTTTGACAACTTGACCTATAACGCCAGCACATTCAATTGGGGCAGCGACGTGGATGTGTTGGATGCCCGGGCGGGGACTCTCATTGATGCAATTAACCCGAACCTCTCCAATTTTAGCACTCGCGGTGGCAAGATGATTGTGACCCAAGGGTGGACTGATCCTTTCAATGCTGCTACCTGGCCTATACAGCATCGCGAGCAAATGGCAGCCGCCACACAAGGGGACATTGATGATTGGTTTGAATTATACATGATTCCAGGTAAATTCCCTCCCATCAACAAGATTCATCCTCGTGCTTGATTTGGACATTTTGGACCTAATGCAATTCTTATCTAGGTGGTGGTCATTGCGGAGCTTCATCAGGTTACTCCCAAGCTCCAGCTACTGCGCATTCGCTAGAAGCTCTGGTACAGTGGGTAGAAACGGGGGTGCCGCCGGCGGAAATGCTTAGCAGTGGTCCTACAGATGGAAGCAACCGAACCAGAAAACTATGCCCATTTCCCAAGACAAGCCACTATATTAGCGGGGATTCTGAGGATTGGTCATCTTATAATTGCGAATAATATAATGTAGTTTGTGTACATACAGTACCTATATCGTCTTTCAAGATACATGTGTGTGCAGGGAATGCAGAGTCGCGCTGTCATTGCGGTACGCTAATGAAGCTTCTGGAAACTCCCGCTCGCTGTCAGACTACCAACCAAACGATCCCCCGCGCTAGCTAAAGTCAGTGTTCCCAAGGCATGACATAAGCTTCTGGTACGACCATAAAGGATCAGTAATCGCATACGGCACAGCCAAATACAACAGCCGAGATCCGAATCCTGAATTCTAAACACCATTACAAGCAGCCGAGATTTTTAATCGCAATAAATTGTGCTTAACAATCGTGCAACATTGACAAAACACTTTGTAGTACCATCAATTGGCATAAAAAGGGCGACCATGAACTGCTTGCTTGGAACAAAGAGAATGAAAATCATTACTTACAAAATCAACACTCTTGATCATCGCTTAGCAGCTCCTAGTCTGACATAATACTACCCATCGAACAAAACGAAAATCCAAAGTGCCGTCTGAAGCAATGACTACCAAATCGACTGTCCTCATCGTGGGTGGTAAGCTATTCAAGTACGTTGTTCTTATTGTGTCAACCACTAAGAAGACTCTCTAGGGACCGGAGCACAAGGAGCCGTAATTACCAAAATTCTTTCGGAAACAAACAAATACTCAATCCTTGTCTTTACCCGAAGCACTACCTCCGTTCATGCCCGAGAGCTGGCTGCCCTTCCCAATGTGGAACTCGTCTTGAGCAAAACGGATGCTGGATATGACCTTGACGCCTTTTACGAAACTGCAAAACGTGCAGACGCAGTCTTTGTCAACACGGATGGCTTCGCGTTGGGTGAGATGGCAGAGACCTTTTGGGGCATTCGCCTTTTTGAGACGAGTGCCAGAGCAGGGGTCAAGCACTTGATCTACAGTGGATTGGACTCCAATGGCAAAGCAAGCGGGTATGATCCCGAGCTGTACGTCGGCCATTATGAAGGGAAAGCTCGAGTTCAAGGTCCGTCCCCATCCCATCACCACCACAACATGCATGCGACAGTGACAAGTAACTAACGGAAAGAAACAGAGTGGATCAAGGCACAAGGCACAGACAGCCCGATGGCGTGGACCATTCTTCGTTCGGGACCATACGCCGAAAGTCTTCACGAGCATCTGCGTCCTCGTTTCACCCCCGATGGAACAGCCGTATTCGCCTTGCCTATTGGCGACGAGGGCGAGATCCCATTCGTCGGCCTGGAGGATTTCGGCCGCTACGTTGACTGGGCACTCTCGCACCGCGACGAAGCAAATGGCCAAGACATTGGTCTCGCCGTCGAGTTTGCCAGTCTAAGCAGGCTGGCCGCAGCGTATACTGCAGTAACGGGGAAACCAGCAACGTGGAAGTCCATCCCTGCCAAGGACTGGAACAATGTAGCCTGGGCAAAGCTGCCAAACCAAGGTGCCACCAAGGTCGGCTACATGTCCATTAGCAATCCCAATGCGTTGAATCTGAGCTACGATCAAAACTTTACACATTGGTTCAATCTATATAAGTCGAGGATTTTGAAGAGAGATTTTGACCTGCTAGACCGGATCCTACCCGGCCGGGACAGCTCTATAGAGGGTTGGATGCGAAGAGTTGGCTATACTGGAGAACCAAAGACGGTTCTGAGAAGTACCCAGAATCCCGGGCGAGCTGACTAGGTTCTTACTCTTGTATGTTTGCAATTGCTCTCCTGAATTCATGTCACTTGCCCCAGATAAGTCACTATTTGAGCGGTACCTGTCAGGATCGGTCGTCTCGTAGCCGCGGATGGTGGATCACAGACTTTTGGCCCATAGATTTTGTTTTGCGCAAACCTTTTGTTTAGTCAGCAGCTTAAACATTTGGAATTCTAAACATGTTTGACAAAAAATGAAAACCAAAATAAAAATTGACAAAATGGATTGGCCTGTAGTTTTCACACGTGCACGCTGGTTGACTGTAATATGTCGCTTAGAGCTATCTCCGAGGTTGTGTGTGGCTTGTTGGGTGCTATATAAGAAAGCAGAGAGACTGTCTCCTCTTGAATACAAGCATACAATTATTTGGTTTCGGTTGCTATTTGGCTGTAGATTGCAAGTTTCGGTCTACTCCGGTTCAAACCAAACCGATCCGGTGCAGCTACCAGCTAGTTCTTCTAAACATACTGGGCACAAATAGCGTCCCCTCCGATATCCATGATATCCGCAATGGTAACATTGGGAATCATCTCGTACATGGATAAGATATGACTCAGGGTCGTGACGTTGCCCGGATCACCGCTATAGTCGGTGAAGTTGGCGCCGGGGGCATCCCAGTTGTTGGCAGCATTGAACTCGTCGGTGGGAACATTTTGACCGCCCATGTCGGTCAATCGCGCAGTCAGGTTGGCCGATTGCCACTGCCACCATAATCGGTCGAGATTGGTGTGATGTAGGAAAAACACGGGGTCTCCGGGGGAGAGTACCGGGTCTTGCATCTGCAGAGAAACATCTTTAGCAGAGTGATGAAAAGTGGGTGAACCAGCTTTATTGGAAACTTACCGTGCCGCCAGTACCGGCGTGGCCTGCCGAGTGTGGGCTCTGACCGTAGCACTGCCAGGCTTCCTCATAGGACTCGAGTGCATAGCATGCGTCGACTCCCTCCTGGCTGGCGACCTGGAATGTGGTGACGCTGATGGAACGGTTGAGGTGATAGGTTGCCGTCTTGGGGATGACCGTGTTGAACGACCAGGCACCAACGTGAAGCTCCATGTTGGCAAATGGTCCGTCCGTGACGATTTGGTTATCAGACGAATTGCCATCGCCGCCGATACCATAGACAGAGTCCCAAACGGAGGACAAGGTGATATTATCAGCATCGACTTGTTCGTCCCAGTAAGGCATTCCACCAGTGTAGTTGCAATATGTCTGCAAAAGCTTCTCGTGCAAAGTCATGTAATACCGATGCCAAGGAAGAAATTGGCCCTGGCCCAGTTTTAGCGTTGGAAATATAAGAATCGAAGAATAGAACGCTATTTTAATCGTTCCCAGTAACACAACTTACGACACCATGGATGTAGTTGGACATGGTCAGATGCAAGTATTGTTGCTCGTCCCAAAGAGTGGTTGCACCGTCATAAAGTCCAAAGACGGCATCGTGGGTGGTCAAGCAGACTTCGGCGTCCAACCAGGCCAACTTCTCCTCATTGCTGAGCGAGGTAAAGTTCTTGCGTTGCACAGGCGATTCGCAGGTGTCGGCGGCGACAACAGCGCCCAAGGTTGCCAGGGCGAAAATGGATTTCATGACGACCAGTTTGCACCTATGTTGGATTGGGAGAAAGCAGTCGTGGTAATGCTTCAGCAGTATCCGTGCAGGTCAATAAACTAAGAACGCTGGCCTGGGAATTAACAACTTAAATAGACAATCCATAGTTGTGAGTTTCCTATAATTCTAGGAAGCGATAAATGCATCGTGGCCCACTTTAACGCCTGCTGGAATATACTACCCCTCAAGATTCTATTATGAAATGAAGTACCCGTAGGTTGACGAATTCTAGTCGTCAGCCTTTGTGGAGGTGGGTTGGCCTGTGAGGATAGAGGGCAGTGTCATGTTGAACTTGTTCAATGCGTTATACGCGGCTATGCTTGCCGTCCCCGTATTTGGTAGTCATAGTTTTGGCTGATCAAAATACGTCTACTCTTTTTCATCACTCTGCCAAGATATCTGTATGGAGCACGCGCAAGTCATTTTGCCTTGCACACCGGTACTAAAAGGCTTTGGTTCTTGATCTAGAGCTGCCCAAGGCTCTGGGGATGGGGCGCCGCTTTCTGCCCGGCCCTGAGCCAGCCCTAACATTACGTACACCCCAGCCAACTTGGCATAACACAACCAGCGGATCAACCCGTGCAAAAGCCATTGCGTGCACCAATCCTCACACTGATGCCAGTCAAGCACGCCTTACTCAGCAGCTGAATAATATTAGACATGTCTGTCATACATGCCAATTACCCCTTTTTGACAAAACTCATTTGTTAATTAGTACGCATGATTATCAACAGTGGATCCTGCCATTTGTTACTAAAATTGGCCCAAAAACAATTTTGATTCATCTTCAATTCTATAAAGGCAAGCATGATTTGGAATACTCCTCAATGGCAAGGCTACTTAGTTATGGCCTGGAACTTTGACTCTGTCAATTTCAGTATCTTGAGAAAAGATCGAACATTATTTTTCTACGGCAAAGAAAACTTTTGCCAGCAGGCTCATGTGTCACCCCGTTTTCTAATCCGTGTCTGTCCTCAAGACAATGACGGTACCACATTTCACAACGTTACCGCCATAATCAAGGTTAATTAAACAGTTGGAGAGTGAAACGTCTCGCGAGCATCGAGGAGCACCGGTAAAGAATCTTGATATGGGTTAGATCTGAACCTGTAGAGTTGGTAGTTGGTGTCAACTATACAGTCTTTTGATAAATTGGAAAAGACAAGCTCTATGTATTTGAATACGTAGTATGCACTAGATCTATCTAAGCGCTGGCAGTAGCGGTAGCAGTTGCCGTGATGGCTGCCGTGCAGGAAGCAGGCAGAGGAGGCAGGTCTGGGTCATCCGGGGTCAAGTTGATCATCAAGAAGCAGGGGTCCTCGACACCGCCGTCAGCCGTGTGCTGAACCGCAGAATCAACTTCGTAGACGGCGGAAGGGTCGATGCCGACAGAGATCCAGGCGAGAATACCATCAGAGACCGAGTCTCCGAGAAGAACGTAGTTGACCATAGGGTCAACGCCGGTGGCTTCGGCCTCCTGGACGACAATGTTGTCCTCGTCATTCTTGGTCCAATCCTGAGTATTGGAGGTGTAAGGTACAAGAGTCTCTACCTCGTCCAGGAGATCCTGGTCAAAGAAGACTTGACCAATGTGCGGCGTACTGTGACCACCAGTGATGGTACCATTCTCCAGCAAAGACCAGTTTCCAGGACTGTGAGCGAGAAGGTGAATGTGATGAGTACATCCAGTGTAATGTCCAGGCACAATACTCTGGAAACCAACGACACCATCCACATCCGTTACCTGGATACCGCGAAGCCAGGTCGTGTTCAGGCCAGCCTGACTTGAGATGCCCGAGTAGGAACCCGTGGCGTTGGCGTGCCAATAGTCCACAGCCACTCCTTCCACCGGTTCACAGGTGTTGGTGTCAATGAATTGTACGTCCAAGTAAAGCGGTACACCGACCTGATCCTCGGTGACATTGGAGCGAATGAACTCTCCAGTGACGTAGTAAGGACCTTGCGTGGTCTCGGGGACAAGTGCACAGGAGCCGTTGCCAGTGAAAAGGACAGATGGGTCGGTATCCGCAGTCAGTCCAGTCAGGTTGGAGTGATGGGTAGTGTTGAGGGCCGTGTCGAGATCGCGTTCAAGGATGACGCGCTTCTGCATTTGCGAAAGCAGAGCATGTCGGCGACGAGCTGCCGCTTGGGGAATGCCGCGAGCCTCGAGAGCGCTGTTGCATGATGCAAGAGAGCGAGTCCTCGCCAGAGCTGCCTTGCGCTGGAGCGCTTCAGCAGCGTGGTCAGCGCCTGGGTGTGCTATTGCACTTTTGCCCATCAGGGCGATGAAAAGCAGTTCCTTGAGATGCATTGTATTTGCTTTTCCAAAGAATGTAAGTTTGAGCAGAATTCAAGAGAGACGGCTGTGATAGTATGCCCATCAGCATAAAATCAATTAGCTCCAGCGGGAGGTCATTTTATATGCTGCTCATAGAAGAGACCGCAGACAGGTTGGTATTCACCGTCTAGTATGACCTCTTCCATGTGATGAGCCAGGTCCAGGCTGCTGATGCTCATACCGCTCTCAGAGTTGTAAGGAGGAAAGACATGTGGTATCAATTACGCGTCCCGTTGTCCAACTAAGTTGGGTCCGGTACTTCTGACTTGCCATAGACCTGTCCGGAGAACGCCCGGGGATCATGGCCGGTACAGCGCTCAAGGAGTCTGCAGACCAAATCATGACAGAACTACAGTCCCAACTTGGCCGCCCGTGGACTTGCATGAAGCCTGGTTGAGGAGCCATGAAAGCTTACGCAAGCTGGGTGGATAGGGACGACAACGTCCTTTATGTCTCTTTATATGCTTCATCCATGGATTTCAAGCGTCTCCTCGGGACGCATCATTTGCCGTGTTCAGCCATGAAATCTGTACGGGGAATATGATCGGCGCCCGGATTCCCGGATTTCTTTATAACAAGGGGCGGGGAAGTGACAAGCCCCATGCATGCGATGGACCCATATGATACTTGACACCAATGAATATCCTTTAATTTATAAACCTCCCCGACGCCCCTGCCCCTGCCACGCTATACTAGCGTAGCAGGGCATGCCGTACGCCATGAATGAACGGTAATGGTGCCGTCAGTCGCCTAGCGGATCTAGCCCGTCATTTCAACGAAGCATTTCGATGGGTACCGAAAACTTTACAATTTGCAACCCTCAGACCCCTACAATCCATCGGAGATATCGGGGAGTTATCATGGAGGGGAGGGAAGAAAAAAAACAAAGTAAACACGTAGATCAAGTTATTACTCAGGACACTCTGGTTTTGAGAATAAGCCACATCTGAAGAAGCTCAAGCTGTAGTTGCGAGATGGAGAAATTCACTACTCGCTGTGTTTGAGGGGTACACATCGAATGTGGAGATAAATAATTCTGGTCTAAAATAATGGGTTTATAGATTAAAGTAACCACCAATAATGCCGACCTGCGTTTCAATTTCTATACAGAAGCTCAAAGTAGGGTTTGGAGCACTAGGTGTAGTCGGGGCAAAACGGTTTCGATTCACTGAGAAAACAGATTTGGAAAAAATCTGCTCATGGGCGACCATCAGCGTCATCCCAGTTGGGGTTGTCCACACCACCGTCCTCAGTTAGGTAGACAACGGGGTCCACGACCTTGGAGTAGGTCGAATTGATTCCAAAAGATACCCAAGCAAAGATTCCATCCTCGATGCTGTCGCCCAGCATAACGTACTCCATAATGGGATCAACGCCGTCAGTGGCGGTTTCGGTAGCCATAATGGAGTCGTCGGCGTTTAGGGTCAAGTCCTGCTCATTGGTAGTATACGGGTAGGTGTTTTCCACAAGGCTGATTAGATCCTGATCAAAAAAGACCTGGCCAATGTGGCTGGTAATGGTTTCAGCACCCAGAGTGCTGTTGGGGTAGAGTGTGGCATTCTTGTGGACAACAGTGTGAATATGGATCGCGCGTCCGGTGTAGTGGCCAGGGAAGATGCTCTCAAACTGGGCAACACCATCCGCATTGGTTTCCTGGATACCGCGGCCCCAAGTCTTGTTCAAGTTGCCGGGATCCGACTCGCCAGATCCGTTACCTTCGACCTCGACACCGGCATAGACACCAGTTGCATTGGCGTGCCAAATCTCGAGATAGGTGTTTGGCATAGGTTCGCAGGTGTTGATGTCAACCACCTGGAAGTCCATGACAATAGGGACACCCTCTAGGTCTTCACTGATTTCACGACGTACGTACTCATCAGCAACATCTGTGAGAACCGATGTCAGGACGACGGATCATTGCCAATGCCGTGTCTTGTGGGGTAGATGAAACCTTACAGTATGGTCCCTGTGTAACCTGTGGGGTCAGGAGGCAGGACTGGTAATCGGCGAACAGTGTGGCAGCCGCGGTGTTCTCACTGTATGCAGACGAAGTCTTGTTGTGGTCGGTGGCTAGAACGTCGTCCTCCGACCTCTTTGTGATTTGTCCTAAACGGTGCATAAGTCTGCCTTGTCCTTATCAATGAGAAGGAACAAGTGACTCACTCTTCACACGGGCCTCGTGAACACCGGCGGCGCGACGGTTGATGTTGCGCTCGTCAAGGCCACGGGCCTTGAGCTTCTCAGAGCAGTGGCTCAAGCTAGTGCGCTTTTGGGTAGACAGAAAGCCTCGGCGCACCTTGATCTCTTCTTCTATGTCGTGACTGCCTTGGGCCTGGGCAATGGTTGCCAGAACGGCTAGAGGAGTGACCAGTTTCGTCAAGTGCATATTGGCGAGAATGAAAAGGTGATGATGGGACTAACGAGAGGTGACAATTGGGCCTTGCAAATCGACACATAGGACATAATCATCTTCTCTTATATCAATCATAGTATTCAAGTATTGAGAGGTTCTGGCCAATTGCGATTTGGCGTTACTCGAGAATGCTTCATCTACTTCCCTGGGGCTCAGCCTCGAGTAGTCCTTGGGAGGAGCAGCTCCATACCGGAATCAGGTTACGCGTAAGACGATGTGCTGACGCCGCAGTGGCTCATGCGCAGGCCCTTGACTGGAGAAGTTTGATAGAATAGTCAAGGAAAATACTCACCAGGTAGTGAGGTACTTTAGTGCATAGTTGGAGAACTCCTATTGCAGTGGAGCCAGCCCGGTGTTTTCTGAGAAGTCTACAACCAAGCGCCCTTCGAGAGTAAGGTGTATCGTTGCGTAGGTATTAATCTACCCATCGTCGTCAGCATCATCGTAGTCATTGCATTCCCCGTTCTTATCTCATTAAGAGCCATACTAGGGATGTTGCAGGTAAAGTGAAGCAAGGCAGGGAGCAAAATTGGTAGCGATGCTCGAGCCAAAACCAGTAACAAATCAGTCAAAAATGTTCAGTACACGTAATACAGTCACAGGGGGTTTTGATTGCTTTGATCCGTAGATGAATGCCTGTGATACATTGATTTTTACAACGTGTATTTGCTCCTCCTTTTGTTGACCGAACCCGAGTTACCGCAAGCTGCACCAGGGTATTCATCTCCTGTGTTGAGTAACCGAACTCAGTTGGTCAAGATAGTGACATTCCTATGGCCGATATAGTAATGGCTAGTCCTTCTTACCCGGCAGGTGAATGGATCCACGGTGGGCCATGGCAGAAGGTCCAGATTACACGGACTAGTTCCTTGAGGCACAGAATTGTGCTTGGAAGGTTTATCAAGGTCGAATAAATGTAACTTGCTGCATATTTTGAAGAAAACATGTTTAGGTCTGTTAGGTATGGCAGGAGGGCGTGATTCAGGTCATGTGCTACCTTTATGTCAGATCTGTACTGTGTACCGCGGAAAAGGGTGACGGAAAATATGTATCCCGCCGCCCTTGGGGCTTTCCTGAGCATTGTTTCAGCGCCGTCCTTCAGCGCCTACTATCAAGATTACTTTTGTTGACGCGTAGCATATTATTGACAGACTACGCAACTTGAGATGGAAATGATTGAGATCAAAGCTCTCGCCTGACTTTGCCGATATGGCAGACACCCGCATTCTTCTTCTCATTGCGGCCATTGCCTTGATCCTATCTCTCGCGATCCCTTCATTGGGGGACCACACCATCAGCCGTGTATCTTGTCCCCATGCCTTTCAACTTGTGGGTAGAAAGCTCACATCATTCCTGCCTTCCGGGTTGGCATCAATTATATCACCCGCTTTTCCTTGCAAGCCGCACTCGTATCGCACCGAGATAGTTTCCACCGATCCACTCGTTATCTACTTTCACGATTTCCTGGCTTCCTACGAGATACCTGTTTTACTCGACACGGCCGAGCCTCTCTTCCGCGACTCTTTGTTGACAAATAATGATGGCAAAGTGCAAGCGTCCCGCCGACGCCACGAACGGCTGTTCTTCGAATCACCGATACCGTTGTTGAGAGCGTGCTTGGACGCGCGACAGAGATCATGGGAGGCATGTTCAACGTTCCTCACGATGATTTTCAACCGCCACAACTTGTACGATACACGACTGGGCAGCATTTTGATGTCCATGCCGATTGGTTCGACGTTCCACAAGAACGGCGCTTAGATTCCACAGGCAATGGTTCAACATGGAACAGACAGGCAAGTTTCTTTGCTATACTACAAGACGATTGCACCGGAGGGGAAACGTGGTTCCCTCACTTGAAGCCTCCCGGACTGGTTAATTCCCCATCTGCTGCCATATCTCAGAGCCGCATCTGGAGAGAGCACGAAGATGGAGGCTTGGCATTCAGATCAGTCAGAGGTGGTGCACTTTTCTGGGTCAACCTCTTTGCAAATGGCACAGGTGATGACCGCACGCGACATGCTGGACTCCCTGTCCTATCAGGCATGAAAACAGGCATGAACCTTTGGCCCAGAGTATATTACTCATAGAGAACAACAAACAATTTTGTGTTTTATTCGAACTGTGTTTCAAGCAAAACTGAATGCAGCAACGCTCAACTCTGTTCTAGAAGCCCTGTGCCTACCTCTGCATAATAATGTTCTCCAATGGTGGAATGGCGACAGTGGTGAGAATTCACAAGTCTCCGAACGGCCTCTGCAGTGATCGTCCACGAGCACGACTATCCATACCAGAATTTTGTGACCACTAATCACTGGTATCACAACCCGAGTTTCGTGTCCACTTTCACGAGTACGAGAGTCTTCTAGTACACATTATAGTCACGCTAGCCAGGAAGTGAGGCTGGGGGTAAATGGAGTCTAGCCCTTATAGTGGAGCTGCGACTGGGGTAAACGTGTGTACAGTCCAGAAAAGGTAAGCAAAATCTTTCTGCTTGGCAGCCGGATAAAGTCCGTAGCCGGCCTAAAACCGACTCTTCGTGACGTTTCCGGCCATGATCTGTCAGTATTCACAAATCCAGCTGGCCAAAGACGACGTTACTCACAAAGTCCCAGTCAAGTCAGTCTCCACAGGATGAGCCAAGGACACGCAAGCCTCCATGGGCTTGATCATGCTTAGAATTAAGATCAACACCCAACTACCGAGACTCTGACCCAATCAATTGTGAAGTTATGGTTATTACTGGCGTTGTGTCTCTGACAAATCAACCTTGAGCCATTAGCAAACCGTGTGGATAAAGTGGACTCTCTGTTTACGTAGTCCTCGTCGCTCGACTCCTTTGTGCTACGCGTCGTAGAACTGCCAAGATCTTTGCGGCGGGGCCAAAGAGGCTGGTCTGGAGATTCCTGCAACAGTTACACAATGGAGACTTGGGAGACAATCATTGTGAGTGATAGAGACAGAAATGGAAAATCTTGACCCGAGGATGGTCTCCTTATTCCCCACAAGCCGCCTAACAAAGAATTATGCTTGCGAGGGTTTCTAAGATGCACTCTGATATTCTGGATTTCTGACCGTACAGGAGAATTCAAGATATCTCCTGGATCTCTAGCATGATGATTGCGAAGCACTCTAACCGAGATGAGAGGGACAATAAGTTGTCCACATCAATATAGTGATAGGAATGCGAAATAGGATTTTAGAGAAACCATTAAAGGAAACTTGACCGCATCTGATGCGGTGAAGAAGTAGTTGTATCTGTATATATACTATGTACAAGATCACACACGATTTCCCGTTCGTCCACACAAATTGTTGTTGAAATTAAGCGATCCAATCCTGTGCTACACCAAAAGGAAGCCTCATCAAGATGCGTTTCTCTACTTTCTCGACTCTTGCAACCCTTGCGGCTTTCACGGCGGCACACCCAGGCCATGATCTGTCCGCCGACATTGCCCAGCGTGCTGCATTCAAGAAGGTTAGCACACGTAGCAACCTTTCTCACTGCAGCTCGCAGCTCGAGGCTCGCGGCATCGAAAAGCGTAACTTGGCTCGACGCTCCAAGGCCGTCCAGCAGATGCGGAAGCGCGACCTCGAGTCTGTCCTCGCCACTGATCACAATGCCACATCTTCTGGTTACACCAAAAACACTCCTGAAAGTACCATTTTTGCAAGTGAAAACTCTTGCGTCTTGACCCCCGAGGAGACCGATGGCCCGTACTGTAAGCAACCACCATCTCGAACAAGGAAATGAAAGACACTTGGCTTATAGACTCCCAGATGTCACTGGAGAATACGTTCGTAAGAACATTGTCGAGTATCAAACTGGTGTTCCCATTACCCTCGACTACCAGGTCATCAACGTCGACACGTGCGAGCCCGTGTCCGACGTGTACGTGGAGATTTGGCACTGCAACGCCACGGGCGTCTACTCTGGCGTCGACAGCCCGCAGGGCGGACTCGACAGCACGTGGCTGCGCGGCATCCAGCTGACGGACGACGATGGCGTCGCGCAGTTTGACTCCGTCTTCCCGGGCCACTACACGGGCCGCGCGACCCATATCCACGTCCTGGTGCACCACAATGCCACCATTTACCGCAACGGCACCCTGGGCCATGATGCCACCGCCACACACATTGGTCAGTCCTTTTTCGATCAGGACCTCATCTCGACCGTCGAGTCCACCTCGCCCTACACCCTCAACGAACAGACCTTGACGGAGAACTCGGCCGACGATATCATGGCGTCCGAGGCGGCTACCGAGGGTGTTGACCCCGTCATGCAGTACACCCTGCTGGGCGATAATATTAGCCAGGGCATATTTGCGTGGCTCTCATTTGGAGTTAATGTGACTTCCTCGAGCAGCGCTGGTGCCGCGGCCATCTACTATGCAAGTGGCGGGGTCACTAACCCCGACGGGCCTGCTGCTATGGGCCCTTAGAGACGAAAACATGTCGAGGGCGAATTCAACAGTCTTCTTTAGACCACTCTATAGATTGAGACAAAGAGAGGCGCTTAGGAAGGACATGTTTGCATATGATTGTCCGCCTGGCACAGATATGTATGGAAGTTGAGGATATCAATCGATTGGCTACCGCGATGCCCTCCATCGAAGAATAGATTCAAACAAACGCCATCAAAAGGACAGAAGGTAGAATATTGAAATGGGATTGAATGTTCAATGTCTTAGTATGTGTATCGAAACACAGGGTTCTCCCCATCCGTGACATCATCAATGCCTGCGTCCAAGTCAGTGACTTGGCTAGCATCCGGTAGCCCATGTGTCATGTTGCGCCGCCTATTCTCCAACACGCAAAGAACATAATATGCCACACCAGCTGCAGCCATGACGGCAAAGGCGCACAGCATGGCCCCGATTCCTAGGGGATAAGTCGGTGATTGTTCATCGAGGAAGAATTGCGGTCCGATGATATTACCAACGGCTATAGAACTCATCAGCGATAGGCTCATTGAGTGGAGGAATGGGAGAGCAGAATGGAGAAGGTGGATTGGCAAACAGAAAAGCGTACCATAAACGACCGCCACAGATATGCCCATGAAGCTCTTTTTGGTGGCTCCGGCAGTATTGGATGATGACAGACTCAGCATAAAGACCCATGGCACATTATAAAAGCCCATGAGATACACTCCAGCCAAGGAAGCATCGCGCTGCGTCTCAATATCAAGGAGATGCACCATAAGAGCACCAGACAGACCAATTAGCGAGGACATGACCCAAAAGATGCAGCGCAGGTTCGGCACGAAGAATGTGATGGCTGTCAGGATGGCCTGACTGACCATGGCTACAGCGGCTTGCGGGGTAGCCATGAGTGTCGTTTTAGTACTGCTGAAACCATAACCAGATATGATCAAAGGATTAAAGTTTGTGATGCCAGCGTTGGCTACAGCGTAGCCTAGGGCGCAGATCCAGATACAATGGCACTTGGGGTCTCGAGCAGCCTCCCATATCTGAGAAAGTTTGAAAGCCTAGATATGAGCATGGTCTTAGCAAGCTAGACATCACTCAGATAGGCATTTGTCATGCAGTTCTTAACATACCTTCTTCGAGTCGATGCCTGTCTGATTGGAAGCAAGCCGAACGGCAGCCAATTCCTTTTCCTTCGCCGTGAAAAACCATGCTGTGGACGGAGAGTCGGGCATGGCCAATACAAATAAACCGCCGCAGAATACAGTCACTGCGCCATAAATCAGGAAGACATAACGCCATGTCGAAAGGGGACCGTCAATCTTTCCAATGGCGTACGATAGAATACCACCAAAGACACCTGCAAACGTGTTATACCAGAAAGCAGTTCGAAGAGGCTGCTCCTCGCGACGGTACCACATTGAGTTGAGAAGCATCATGCAGGGCAAGATGGCTGCCTCAAAAACACCAAGGAGGAAGCGAACGGCGGCTAGGGAGGCGAAATTGTGGCACGCTGCCATGACGCAGATGAGGGCGCCCCATATTGTAAGACAAGATCCGACGTATTTTCCTATGGGCAGCTTGGTCATGAGCCACAGATTCGGGAACTCCATGGCCAAGTATCCGAAATAGAAGATGCTGCTAAGCCAGGAGTATTGTTGGCCGCGCAGATGGGCGTCGGTCTTGATACCGAGTACGGCTGCGTATCCGAGCGCGTTCTAGATAGATTCTCGCATGTATTAGTCTAGCGGGGGGGGGGTTTTTTTTTTTTCGCTTTTTTTCTGCTTTGTCTCTTCCATCTTGTCTAACAACTCATGGCAATGAATCTCACCTTGTCCAAAAATGCGAGGGTCATGCTCAATACCGCCAAAGGCATGACCACCAAGTCCGTTTTCAACAACAATCGCCTGGCTCGGGCAGGCGTCAGTTCCCGATTGATCACCTGGTCGTTGTCATTTTGGGCGGTATGATCCACGACGCTTTCCTCGCCGGATCCTATCTTGTCGTCTAGTTGAGCGGCGGACATGATTGAGCGCGCTCGATGCGTCTTGGAAGGGGTCAACTTGATTAAAGGCTACCCATTCGAGTCTGTAGAACTAAGGCACATATCTGTTGGTCAGGCGGTGGCTCCTTTATGACCTAAACGGTTGATATTGTCCTCTATCTCGCGATCGCTGCCCCAAGATGGTGTCATCGGTGCTTGCCGAGATAGACTCCAGCCAGCTCGGGCGCTACCGAGGAGCAAATATGGGGTAGCCTCCAGTTACTGACTCGCGGTCTCGATACCCATTTTCATGCGCTGGAATTGGACCCGCTCACTCGGTCTACACCGAAAACCTGCTAACACCCAGAAGAATACATGATATGGAGTCGCAACCAGAAAATATCAGCCTCCAACCGGCGGCGATCAAGGCCTGCAGTAGGTGTCGCGCGAGAAAAGTAAAATGCAGTTTGCAAGTACCACAGTGTTCAGCCTGCATGCGCCATGGCGAAGAATGCAACATTACCGACTGTGTAGCTTATTCGTACCGCACTGTCGAGCATCTTCTCGGGCGCATCCAGGATCTCGAGCGTCGCTTGGCCGCAGTATCATCCACGTCTGCCTCGGAGGCTGTGAATCGTACAGATCGTTCGACTTCAGTCGCACAGAGTCAAGATAAGGCATTGTCGAAAGAGGCTGAGGAAATCGGCATACTAGCTATTGGAGGGCCATCTCCATACTCGGAAGGGGCGTACGTCGGCAGCGCCTCGGGCTCGACGTTTGCTCGGATCTTCTTCAAGCAGCTTTCTCTGACATCCGACCAATTCAATGGCGCATCTTTGGGTCGCGATGCACCAAACCTGTCCCGCGACTTGACTTCTCGCCAAGCATCGTTGCCGTCACAGTCCATCGCCAAGCACTTGCTTACACAATACATTGCGCGGGTACACGTCTGGTGGCCCTTCCTAGCAGTACCATTTCTCCGTAATGTCTTCAATCAGATATACCAGGATCCTCAGCAATCTAGCGATTATGAGAAATTTCTCGTATTTGCTGTCCTTGCCTTGGCCAGTCGCGAGGCGGCGGCGGGAGGTGTACGCACGATGGACCTGAATTCGCCAAGCTCATACTATCAAACTTGTCTCAACTTCTTCTCGGGCTTTCGTGAACGTGCCTCGGCTCGCAAATTGCCGTCAATCCATGCCACTCTTTTACTCGGTTTGTGGCTCCTGGATGCTCCAAACGGCCTTGCGGAGCTATGGCATCTCAGTCGCCATGCCATGTCCAGTGCAATAGAAGCAGGACTGCATCGCCATAACACGGACTGGGGCCTCGGTGATGATGAAATGGAGATTAGGAACCGCACCTGGTGGTCGGTGTATAACCTAGAACGGTAAGTCATAGTCGTCGTTGGGTCAGGACGTATTGCAGAGACGCTGAACCGAGCATCAGTCAGGTAGCTACCATGACAGGCCGTGTCCTGTCCATCCGAGATCATGCTATAGAGACACCTCTCCCAATGTTAAGAAAGTCGCTTGACAGCATAGCCGGCGACGATAGCGCCACCATTGGGAGGTCCGAACACGAATCACAAATCATTGAGCCTTTTCGGCGCATGATCGAGCTTCGCAAACTCTCCGGACGTATTCTCGAGTCCGTCTACGTTCGCCGGAATGAGGGTCGAGGGAATCACAGGGATGTGCAAACTGATAGTCGCCTCAACGACAGCGTCAACACATCGCTCCAGCAAATATGCGCTCAAGCTGACGCCATTGCCCTTGAGCTGTCAGCCTGGGATGAGAGACTCTCCTCTTCATTCTTATCCCCACTATCACCGATGACGTCTTCTGAACTGCCGCATAATAGGAGTAGCAATATTTGGAGACACTACCAGAGCGAGCTGCGCATAGAGTCTTGTCTACTCCAACTCCTTCTATACCGCCCGTCCCCGGTTTTCATGATACCTTCATCCAACATGACAACTGCGTGCGGACGGGCGGCAAGGACAGCGATTGCTGAATGGAATGCTCTCCAAAGACAACGCGAAAGAGACGGGACGGGAGGTGCAGTCTGCAGGTCTGTAAGGCAGCTTCATGGGGTACTAACGGCTGGTCTTGCAGCGCTGTATTGCGACTGGTAGGTAGCGTCACATGAAATCCCCATTTGAAGCCTGACTTGCAGCTGATCATGTCTCTAGGCGCACCGCACGACTCTCGACGGACCCGACAAGACTCCTCTCGGGACACCTGTGGCTCGAGTCGGATACACGAACTTGCCTAGATTTGATCGAGCGCGGGATAGTGTACGTGGGAGAGGCTAGCTTTGGCCGCTATCGAGACATGTTCCGTGCTGCGAGGCTCCGCGTGTATCTCAATGCGCCGAGTAGTGCTCGGCACAATCCGTCGTCAGCCGGCTTATCGGGGATGGAGCTGGAAACCGGGGCGCCGGGAATCGACGACGGGTTGCCGCTGCTTGGAGGAGAAATTGACAGCTACATTAATCAAGTGAGCGACCTGTTTGACGGAGGCACGTTTGAGCTAGACGAGGCGTTGAATGACTGGTATGCCACGCTGATGCAAGGGACATGGACGCCTGTGGGGGCTGAAGACGCGGGGTGCTGAGTTAGGTTGCTTCCACTATCATTTCTGTGAGTATAGCGTAGGACAGTGGGAACTAGGTCTGCTGTATTCGGCCACCACCGAAAATGCGGGACGATGACAGTGTACCTCCTCGGTCTGAGCCGAGATGAAACAGAGTCTGGTACCTTTCGTATCAATACGCAGATATATAAATCGATTTTGCTGAAAGAATAGACCTCGATCAGATTCATGCTGATGAACATTCAAGGAGTTGCAAACTTATGCGATCATGTCTTCCTCAGCGACACCAGGCGAACATCATGCCGGCACACACGCCGTGATCCCCAACCAGAAGAATGAAGCCATTCTCATCGGAATGCGAGATGGCGTAACGGGTCAATTTCGTGTTGTACCCCGAGAGCAGGCTGTTGTCTCTGTCTTTGACTCAAACTTCCTCATTGGTGATGGCATTTGGGTGAGTGGTCTCCGGTAGCTCTTTGCAACCCTCTGAAAAGCCCTATTAACACAGCCATGTAGGAAGGTATTCGCGCCAAGCGAGGCAAGGTCCAATTTGCCAGCGCGCATCTCAACCGTCTCTTCCAGGCTGCAAAGGCCATGCACATGGATCTAGGACTCTCAAAGTCACAGCTGTTGGGCCTGATTCACGACACACTTGACGCGAATGCCATGGGCGACGAAGAGCACGTGCACATGCGGCTCGTCGTGTCGCGCGGGCTCAAGTCAACGCCGTACCAAAGCCCATCAGTAAATATTGGGCTGCCGCTCATTGTCATCATCCCCGAGGTCAAGGCCACGGACCCGGCCACCCACTCGCGGGGCTTGCGGTTAGGCACGACTTGGGTGCGCCGCGGGTCGCCCGACGTCAAGGACGAGCAGTGGAACCACATCTCAAAGGCGACCGACGTGCAAGCTTGCGTACATGCTGGCGTTATGGGAGTGGACGAGGCGCTAATGCTGGACCAGCGCGGCTTCGTCAAGACGTGCAATTCTGTCAATTTCTTCATCGTGCGCGGGTCCGAAGTCTGGACTGCCACCAAGGACAATCAGATGCAGGGTGTGACGCGGCAAAAGACCATTGACGTTTGTCGCGCTCACGGCATCGTCGTGCGAGAGCTCGACTTTGCCCTGACCGAGGTCTATGGCGCCGACGAGGCCTTCTGCACTGGCACCTTTCCTTCGCAGATCCACGTTGTACAAATTGACGGTCGCGTCATTGGCGACGGGCAACGGGGTCCAGTAACAGAAAAGATTGCTCAGTTGTATGCGGAGATGGTCAAGGCGGATGTGGGCAGATCGAGGGAGGAGATTGTGGCAGAAGTGGAAGCGCCGCGAGACTTGAGCTTTCTCAATGGCATTTGAGGGGCAGCGTCGATGGCATGACACCCACACTTCCATTGCGCCATAATGCTGAAAAGACGAGACTCTTGCTCTTGAGGCAGGCGAAATACCTGGAACATGACTCAACGTTGCAAAAGCGATTGCGACGGGCGGTTTTGTTGGCCACTCAGTTCCGAGGTCATGCTGATGGTCCTGCACTCGCGGGGTTCATATAGCCTGTACCCTTTTGTAGAACTTGGGAGTGCTCTGTAGAGGGGTGGGTTGCCTTGGGCTGCTGCTTCAAGCAATTTCTAGCCCCTAGCGTGCTGATTACAGCACTACTAGCCCGTGCATTAGTGGGATTGTATACCCCCAGAGCGTAGAACGCAGTTTTTGGACCGACAAAACCGGTCTTGGTATGAGTACGACAGCATTTAATTAGACGACTGTATCTAAGAGCTGGTAACATAAAAAGAACGAAAGAAAATGAATGAAAAAAGAGAATAGGTTTGAAATCAACCGACAGTATTTGTCGGAGATGGAAATTGGATTGCTGGGATCATGTGAAAACGAATGTTTGCTGGATTCTATGTGGGTGTACCCTACTTGCTATATCTCAAAGTTGAAATCACATGTATACAACATAAACCAACCCACACCATGAGCAACAGCGCTGTAGATGCACCGATGAACCCAATCACAAAGAGGCATATCCCTTGCGACATGTTTTGAAAGCTGGTACTCCCATTCATGAATTCTGTCGCCAGTCCCACCTGAAGTGCAGAGAGGATAGTTGACAAGTACAAGAATGCGACCAGCAGCCACGCAAAGTTCTTTTGAAAGAATATCGCCTTCCATGTCGAGTTGGACATGTAGCCATGGACCAGGCTCTGAAACGACATTGTGCCCGGCAGCACCCTGGTGAGCTTGGTTAGGCGCGATAGTCGCAGTTCGCCGTAGCGGTAGCGCATGCTCGTTGTATGCTGCTTGGTGCCTTCTATAAACGTCAAGACCTCGTCCATGAAGCAGCGCCACTGGTCCCAGCTTATACTACCCGGAAGAAGGTTCGCTTGTGTCGCAATGACGTAGTCACTCTTGTATGATATGAGCCAGCCGTAAGAGAGTAACAGCCCGCATGCAGATTGATACAGCTCTGGATAAGGACAAATCTCATCCTCCCAAAAGCTATAGCGCAGAAGATATTCAGGTATTGGCTTCAAGAAGATTGAGTTCTGGTGCCAAACCAGATGCTCATCAGCGGACTCTGTGATGACAATCTTCCGGCTCATCTGAACCTGGCGATGCAGTGGCCGCGCTGGCCTCGGTAGTCCAGCTAGCCAAAGATGATTGTGCAGCCGATCGAGTTTGGGTGTGTGCAGTTCGGTTTCGAGACATTCGCGTTTTTGTTGGGTCGGGTGAAGAAGTGCCGGCCCGGAACGGATCCGGAGTGGCAAAGATGCCGACGAGAGCGGGGAATTATGAGGAGAAAATGGCGGGGTGTGTCGCTTTGGAGGCGGAGTTATAGAGTGCTAACCCACGAGAGTCAGTTTCCAACGAGCTGTCACAGCCTGGTGGCACTTGAAGGACAGACTTACAAAAGGCAGCATTGTTATGAAACGGTCTGCAGAGTGCATAGAACGATTGTCGCATGAGTGAACGGCTCTCAGTGCATCGTGCGACGTGAATTGGGAAGAAATTTGATTAAAAAAAGGTTGGATTGAATGCGGACAAGGCGGATTGTAATATTTGGCAGCGATTTTGCCTGACTGCCTCGGGCTGTGCATCAGGGCCAATCGTGTGCACAGTCTTGTGGTTCTTGCATCATTAGCTTGGTGCGCAGTCATCCTTGCAGTCCGTCTGGTCAGAAGGGACCATGATTATGAGGGGTTACAGCCTCAAGGATGAGCATCAATATCTTGGACTTCTGGGACTAGCAGGCAAAGAAAGTCAAAAGTGAACCGAGACTATTCCGATTCTGAAAGAACTAGGTCGGAAGAACATCACATATTTGGTATTATGGGCAGGCGATAGCAATTTGACGGATGCAAGCGTATTCTGGATTTTATTGTCAAAAAAATTGGATAAGACGCCTTTCTTAAAAGAATGGACCCACGTCAAGTCAGCGCCATTACCTTTGACCAAGGGCTGCTGTCCTATCATACCAACGTCAATACATCATGCCATGTATACGTCGATAGGACTTTCTCGATGACTTACCCCCCAAACTTGATACAGATTCGCCTGGAGGTCTTTTCCAGTAGTCTGCCCAAAGACGACACGGGCGATAAATTCGGCGACGACATGTTTGCCATTTTTGAAGTCTACTGTGAGCCTACCTACTAGCAATATATCACTGTATGTACTGCTTGCAGTATAGACTCGAAGAACCTCATGCTTGCGACGCTCGATGGTGTCCCACGCTGTCTTGCGGCTTTTTATGATCGCTAGACCACATTAGTCATTGCCACTATGCATCATATGCATTACAAGTATACCCTACCTTCGGTCCCTTCAGACTTTCCATGCAATCCATAAACAACTGCGTCGCTGGTGTACAATGTAGCAAGTGTGGCTCCTGACTCGGGGTCCTTGGAGTCAACTGTAGTAAAGAGCTTCGCAAGCCAAGATTTTATGTTCTCTGGCGTGGCTAGATCGACTGGCCAGACGGTGTTGTCCAGCGCCATCACTAGTTAATTTCGCGTTCCTGGACGAAGTCTGGTGTATGGAGAAGTATTGAATAGAAAGTTTACAATACACGATATGATTGTGATTTGTAGGACTCAAGACAGCATTTACCTCTCCCCGTTTGCCTAGATTCTTTCTTGATTCATGCGAAACTCAACACAGGCTCGGATACCACGTATAAACCAGCCCATGGAGAGCGGGAGCGACCGGGCCGGATAATAATTATAATCCCAAGTATTGAACAATTATTGACCTCACGGTCGGGTATATTATCAGTTTGAAGATCTTGTGCCTTATTTACTGCAAATAGTAAATCTGGTTCGTTACTTAAGTGGACGTCATGGCTCAGGCAACCTCTCCCTCACTCGAACCAGCGTTCGTGGCCCGCTTGAACCCTGCACCTGGCTTCAGAATAGGTACAAAGAAAAAAGAAAATCAATGCTGTATCATTCATTTTATGAGAACAACCCATGACTGACTTTTCGCTCCTAGGCGCCACGTCCAATGGGGAGATTGTAGATGTTGTTGTGAGTCTCCTTAGAACAGACGCCACTTATTATGCATAGAATCGCTGACTCGGTATCTAACTTCCACAAAAGCCTATCTCATCTGGAACGGTAATAAGTGAGCCAAACTTCAATGTCCCTTTAAACGCCGAGATCGTCTTTGGGTCAGACCACGTCCGCATCAATCCATCGCAATCACATGCGCAGATTAATGTCAACGCTGTTCTCAAGAAAGTAACCCATTCCAGAGAAGGAAGATTTAATCCTAACTATTTTTGTTATTCTAGAAACAAAGACGGCGCCCTGATTATCTATGCATACCAGGGAGTCATCGCGGTTGACGCTGCTTTCCTGGCCATTTTCACTGGGGCGCCAGACGCAAAGACGACAGCTTTTGGCAATGCCGTGTCGCACGTCACGTTCAAAGCAGGACCGGGGCTGTTGCAAGAACTGGAGAACAACCTGTTTGTTGGTACTGCACGCTTTGTTGTCGAAGATGGAGGGTTCTACATAGAAACAAAGGTCTCCCGCGTCGTCGGTTGATCGGATCTTTTGGGCAATACATGTAATAGGACACAGTATGTCGTGGAATTAATACTGTCGCCGTGCATGACCTCCAGCTTGCTGTATGTGGAGATCGGTTTGTCTGTAGATTTCCATTGGTGATTGCAGCCGCCCTCGGCGCCGAACTGCCATTTACGAATGGGATTGTACTTCTTCATCCCGGTATCTGCCATTCCTATTTGGTGCGGGGAGATAATCCAATGTAAGTTCCGCGGAATAAGGCAGAGTCACCTCCGGAAGGAGAAGATGGGTCTGGGTCACCGGAGCACCTTCGGTCGGGGTATGCTTTTGATGATAAATGCTCTAAACCGAATCCATTACGGCAAGAAAATCATCCCTTGAGTCGTGGAGACAGGCTCTTTTCTATCTATTGAATCCATCATTTTATGTATGAGATTCGTCCTTAGAACGGATAACTTTCCGACGTATAAAAGCCGTGTAGCCATCTTTTGCTCAGCGTTTGGGTGCCCCCTTGCGCGTGGAGGTTACGTTCGGCAAAATCCTTCACTTGCGCATGCGTAGGAGGAAGACCCAAAGCGTCGTGAGCTCAAATCCACGCGGATAGCCACTTTTCCTGTCTCGGTCGGAGTATCTACTATGTATTTATCTGCCTGTGACAGTCCGTGTGATTCGTGCTAGCCAGCCTGGCTGCACGGGCCACGAGCCGATCCCCACCGGCTGCCGGCTTATCCATAGCTGTATTATAAATAAAACTGTTCCCCAGCCGAAGACCAAATTAAGCTCCTTGTCTTTACATAGTAGATCATCTTTTGATCATAGGTTATATATGGTAAAGTACAGTGAGTCCCTGTTGGTGCCGTAAGATTTCATCATTTTCCCACTCTTTTTGCCCGGCAACAGCTACGCATTAGATTAGCACGATGTGCATTTACATCATATACAGTGGATCTCAGCCTTAACCACAGCCTTAAAAGTGGATGCATGGGTACCTAAATACCTACCATGAAACATAACGAATAAGGGATTCGAACGGTTTTGCCGATCGGGGACTTATTAGTCTACCTAACGTAGGTATGTAGCTTGCCTAAGTACTAGGCAACCGTGTAAATATGCTTTAGATGACAGTGAGATTTCGCAATCCTTTTCTACGCTTGAATCCTCCTGCTGTTCTTCAATGCCGGTTATCCCGTTTGCGTCTTTATTAGAGCCGGTTTCCCTGGTTATTCAAATGTTTTTTTTAATTGCAACTGCATGCTGATATCCTCCATCGACAGTTGTTTAATGTCTTTTTCATTGAGTTCCGCATAAATTGCGGTATCTTATTACAAGAAGCTCTTTCTTAGCTTCACACCAAGTGAACATAAAACATAGAGACACATGTATTTATTCAGGCCATTTCTTGGTGCTTTTGTAAAGTCGGGTTATTGGGTGATATTAAATCGATCTTTTATGTTAATCAAGATAAATTTAAAAATTAATCATTATAAACCGAAGGCCGCTTGCATTAGGCCAGGCAAAGGCTATATCGCCACTAATAGCTGTTTCACAGCAAATGAACGCGACCACGGTCCAACCTGTGTAAAGCAACCGAATATTATGAAGCCATTGCCACCGAATTTTAATCGGTCCAACGGATAATAAACGGGCGTTCATCCGAGATAAATCAAATCAAAGTGGACTGTGCACTGACCGAGCCGTCGAATATACAAAATTTTGACGAGGTTGGTCTTAAAATAAACATGCCGTCACAAATTAGCTGCTCGTGTGATTGCTTATTTATTAATCAAACGAATGTAAAGTCTGCCTCCAAGCAGGAATCTATCTTAGTTATCCAAAAGCCCAGTTAAAAGAATGAATGATCAGCTGCCGCCCTGTCAGCATAATGCAAATCCCAAACTCAAATAACAAAGGGTAAGCGCCGATTGTGTGATATCTCATCCCATGTTCCCGCAAACGCTCTCGCCCGTGACAGCCCGTCCATACACTTTCTTAACGTGGTCATGCCAGACAAATCCAGTCATCTGCTGGCTAGAACATCTTCCATTAAGAGTATCCATGTCGTCGTTTAGTTCGTTGGTAAGGCATTCAATTTTGTTGCCATAGTTGCACATATAAGCCATTGAAGAGCCGATCTTGAATCCAATGATACTCTTCGACTGGACATTTGGCTTGTTGTTACAGTAGTCCTGTAGCTTACCCAGCGACTGGATGTATTCCGCAGAATCGACATATATAATATCGCTGCAAGTTGCTTGATCTACGGGGAGTTTGCGTTGCATGATTCGGGATCGGACCGCAAGGTTGGGTGAAGTGGCGGTGGCCTGAGGGTCATGGCGAGCAAGCATCTTTACGTTACTCGCGGTTCCAGAGCCAAGATCAGCTGTGAAGAGCCCATCCTCCATGTTTGGGTCTATCTGGATACTGGAGCCAGTGATAGCACCCAGCGCCAGAATGAGAAAAGTTGTTGCTTTCATGATGGTTGATAATGGGGGTAAATAAAACTAGATTGGCGAGTGATAATGTGGTGGTAGTTGTGGATTGTTGTGGTGATTGTAGTGGTGATTGCAATGGTGAAGGTAGTGGTGAATGATGTCTACTTCTTCGATTAAAGCAAGCGAGGCTTTCCAGAGTACTTATATATACATTTCAACACAGCAGTGTTAAGCGTTCTGCGTCAATGCACGTCATATGGTCCTATTTTTGGCCACTCAACATGTTCCATTCCATGAGGTTGATCATATACATCTTTGAAGCAAATTCACTCAGAATAGACTGATCTGCAATATAATAGTCATGTCAGAGGTAATAGCTTGAGGCGCAGGCGAGTAGGTAGAGCCACTTTAGACAGGAAAGGAAGGCGTACCTATCTTTGGACAATCTTGAGATCGAGATATTCACATCTTGGATTTCGGCCAAACGTCACGAACATGGCTTTGTTAATCATTGCATCGTCACAGCCCAGAGTTCTAACCAACAGCAAAGAATTAAGATGTCATAAGTCACCGTTGATCTCACATGAAATCAGCCCAGTACGTCACATGCTAAGTTTTGTGTACTAGGCTTGGCAGATCATATTATCTTGGCAGGTCGTATTATCTTGGCAGATCATATTATAAGTGTTGTGGACTAGGCTTGGTGGATCGAACTATGAGTTATGCCAGAGAGGCTTAGTGATCCTTTCGGGTTTATTGCTTTGCCGAAACGAACAACTTTACGGAAAACAAAGAGTTATGTCGTACGTCACCAACATGTAGCCATGATTGTCTACTGCGGCGCAGTAGCTAGTTGTGGTTGATTATTAATTGTAGATCACATTTTGGAATGTACATCGATTTGAGCCATACCTTCTCTGGTGTATCTACGTATTTGCATGAACCCCCCGAATCATAAAAATAGACTTGACAGAAAATCTAAGAAGATATGAGAAAGCGAACAGGTCGTTATAAGTATAAAGAGTGATCATGGTGCCCAAATTATGTTTTCGATGCGATTAAGAGCTTATTCTGTTCGGATACTACCAAAAACATTGAAGATCACAATTTCTCATTTATTTAACTCAAAATGAAAATCATTTCACCATTGTTCGCTTTCGGAGTCCTAGCCTTTTGGGCCCACACTGCCGTCCTTGCTGTCCCAGCTGGCCACGACGAAGCAACCACTATGGATCGTCGAGACGAGTATTGCACTACCGATGAGGTCGAAGGAGCCGTCAAAGGTCGTTCGCTAGATGGAAACGAAACCTCCATCATAGAAAAGAGGTCCGGAAGTGGGGTAAGTCATTGTGATTATTTTCTCCTCACTATGAATTGTATAAGCTAAAGTATCTATAGTGGTGTGACCCCGAAACTCAGAGGTGCTACGTTCGTGGAGTTGATCAAGGCGGTTCATGCTACACGGATCGGAACAACTATTGTGTTTGTGACCGATCTACTCCAGTACGTCATAAGAAAGCAAGTGTATCTTCCTGACTAACTCATCAGTGTTCCGACCACGCGTCATTGACGGTCTCATTCTACGATAGGAATAGCAACGATTATAAAGGGCTCAGGAAGTATGTGCATATGCCAGCGTGCAATTACAATCCGCCACCAGGCATTTGCTATTGTTCAGGCTACGGCCATTAAGAAACGGATGGAACCAAGTCTTCAATCATTTATCAGCTACGCGCTCCTTCATACATTGTTTCCTTTTTCTTGCTACTCCGAACTTGGGAATATATAGCTCTAGGATTATGGCTATCACACTCGTTTATCTTGATGGTCGTCTGGAACAGTCTTCAACGCCACAGTACGTAGGTGGAGGTCTTTGGCAACCCCACTGATTACGAATCGATCAAGCTGAAGCTGGCGAACTCATTTTAAAAGTGTACTGTCTACTATTGATGCAAAAGTCCAGGGTGTGAATGTGAATGTCTCACCTGAGCCGATGTGTGAAGGGGGAAGTGAAGACGAGATGATCGAGGAAGCATTGAAAGTTGTCTGAGTTGATCTCTAGTTTACAAAAGAGAGGTGCTGAAAAGCGAACTATATACCCACGCAGGTGATCTGCGGTGGGTACTGACTACGTCGATACGACAGAATGTAAATGTGAATAGAAGATATAGAGCAAGAGAAGTTCTCCCTCCGGCATGTTTACGGCATCCTTCTGGCTGGCATAACGGCGGCACGTCAGTCCACTCCAGAGTATTCTGCGTATGCTATTTATAACTCACATAACCCCTGCATTGAAGAGTGTCAGTCCAACCGACTTACCGTCGATGGGGTGCATTACAGGTAACTATCCACTCATGTCGGCCGTGGACTTGTCGCTATTTTTGCCACTCTAAAGCGACGGTCCAAAGGGTAAGAAATGTGCACCACTTTGCTATACTAGTCCATGTCAGGCTTGTCCCCAACTCCACAAAAGGTGATGATTTTCGCCACGCACCGTAGGATCATAGTACGCTGTTGTCAATTCAATGGCCCATTCCGTATCATGAACCAAGGCGCCGCACATCTATGCGAAAAACGTCAAATTTGGGTGCATTGTAATGCAGAAAGAAAGTGAGGGATGTGATAGGACATAAAAACTGTAAGCTAGTCGTACTGCACATGTAGACTTGCATTAACCAATCACCATCTAGGGATCTGCAAGCATCATGACATGCTCTCGGGGGCTGTGCCCCTGGTGTTGGCAGACTCTTGATTGGGCGGTGGGGGCCAGGCTCCTTTCCTACGGGTATAAAAGCCGGCAGTGATCCATCATGTTTAAAGACACGGACTGTCTTAGTACCACAGCATGCTATGCCAACCAGAGTATTCTATTAAAAGAAATCTCTGGTCCTCCTTTCGCCATGTCAGTCTCCGACTCCTGGAGTAATCATCAGGAAATCGAATTCCGCTGGGTAACATCATGTCCTACCAACCTTTTGAAACATCTACAGATTGATGCCAAGCGCCATGCACTGGATGGCCGACTGGACGAGATTACAAACATGATTGGCAGCTATCTTTGGATGATTGAGGATCAGTTCAAGGTCGCGATACAAGCTCGAACAACCGAGCATGATTGGAAACCAAACCTCTCAGCATTTACTCAAATGGTGTGGACCATGTTTTACACTGCTGCTCGCTTTTGCAGCACTCTGCAAAGGGATAGACTGGTCGTTGAGCTCATGCTCCTTCATGGGGCGGGTGATATGACGTGGTTTGGTGATGATAATCAGAAAAACGTGGCGTCCATAGGAAAACACGTTTTGTGGACTGATATGCCATTTTTCGCCGAGGACATGATTTACTTCTGGAACCTCGAGTTCGCAACAATGAGCCGGTCGCAACGCCGCAATGTCCATTACTTTTTGGCTACAGCAGCTGGCGGCAATATCATAAGCGCCAAGCTCTGTGCCGTTGGCATTTTGGTTTTGCGAGAAGCTTTTGAAACCACACGAGACATGGGCGACGACAATGCTGAAGATGTCGAAGACAGTAACAGAAAAATCCAAGATTTGACTGTTCTAGATTTGCTCGGCTGTGCTGAGCTTTGGATGTTGAAAGCATGGGACCCTATTAGGAGGCTTTCGTCGATCGGATTTTGCGACTACCCTCAGGAGGTCGGACGTCTCGGGCCACTTGCTCGAGAGGCCGGTGTGCCGGATAACGGCGGCTTCACAAAAGAGAGATTGGACTTTTGGAGTGCCAGATTCCATGGTATCATCAAGTTGCGTCACCCTGAAAGAAAAATTCGCACTTCAACGGAACGCTGGCCGGACTCTTTTGATTCGTTCGTTTGACCTACTATGGGATTTTGTATAATCACATGTTACCGTGTAAACTAGGCTGCCTTGGGAGCTTATCTACATTGAGCCGTCGCAGCTGGTTCCATATTTCTCACCTCTCTTCTATACACGCTCATTTTACACCATATTTCCAGTGCACCGGAAATTATGAATTGGTGATTGAAATAAGTACCTGGTTGATTGCGTCTCCGTGGGCATCAACCTTTTATGTCGGGGACTGCAACTCTTCAGTACCATTGGAGAACACTAACCGCCTGTTTCCAGAAAATCAGCGGTGATCCTCAATCTGTAGATCCTCGGAACTTGTAGAAAACCTCTTCTTCCACCATCGTACCTCAAAGACTTCTAGCTGCCTTTTTGCAGGCCTTTGGACTGTATGCTGGTGTGACTAACTTCTCAAAGTCAGATGGAATGGTCACCTAAGCTCTAAACTTGGTCCAAACTACTGAATGCCATTTTTGACCCGAAGGTTGGCAGATGTGCACCTCAGCGTCGCTTGTATAACTGCCGACCGGCGTTCAATCGAGAGTCCTAGGATAAAGGTCAAATGAGGTACATGTCTGCATCAAAAGTTTGTTGTGAGCGGGATCCTGACAACCTCTGCGTGGGATGGCTGGGGGCTCTGGTGCTCCAGGACTGCTTTGATGCCTAAGATTTGTTCTCGCGTCTCTTTCTGCTCAGCCTCCAAGTGTTTCAGTTGGTCTTGGGTTTCTTTCTCATCCCCTTGCAGCTGCCTCAGTTGTTCTTGCGTCTCCTCCAGCTTTTCTTGCACCTGCATTGCCCGTTCGCGGGGATGGGCGAGCGATTGCATTGTCTGCCTGCTCATTTCAATTGATTCGGCCTGGCGGACTTCGTTCTTCTCGACCTTCTCCGGTATCGCGGTCAGCATTATGGTCTGCCATTATTGCTCATTGGGCTGTTGCTCGGCGGTCTGGGGCTGCTTGGTCATCGTGTTCGTCGTCGGGTGTGCGCTCACAATTTCTCCTCCGGCGTCAATCTCTTTGGAAATTCTCTCATCGGATCCAGTTGTTTCTCCATCGTCGTTTTGTTCGTTCTCTCGGGCTGTCGCCGTTGGAACGCGACGCCGGTAGGACTAGCGTAGCGCCGCTTTTATAAGGCGCCTTTTGGTACCTAGGTAAGTATCACGGTACGTGAAAAATACTGGAGGATTTAGTCAAAAAGTCAAATGAATGAATTCATAAGCTATCACCATGAATAAATATTAATAAGTGCTAAAGGCGTTTTTTTATAACATTTAATAAGTAGAAAATAAATATATAAAATAAGTAATAAAAAAAGGGCGGAAAGGCTGTGATAGCTGCTAGGAGAGTTAGGTGTTAATACCTACTTAGCGCTGGTGCCTACCACCGAACAGCTGCTTCCAGGTGAGCCGGGCGATCGGCCGGTCGCGCCATTGCGGCCACTCGCTTAGCACTGCACTTTATTGCACCACGTTGTAGTTCTCTAAATTCAGTCGCCTTGCACGTGAGTTTCGATTCGCTCCCGTCTCTTTCTCTGTTGTCACGGTAGACCGTTGACTTGAATCAGAACCCTGATGTCTGATTCGTCGGATCCATGGCGCCGACCATCCCGCCGGCTGCCATAGTTCCCCGGGCCATGGATCAGTTCAGCTTACGATTCAACACACTGGTTACTCCCATGGGACCAGCCCCTACAGCAAAGCCAGCAGGGAACGTGACACCGTTTCGAATGAAGGTTGGTTATATATCTAATATATTATGATTATCTATATTGATTCCCTGTTTTGCGCCCGGAATTCGTCGTTCAATCGAACAACTTGTGCAATTTTGTCAATCAGTTACACCATGTCGAACTATACGCGACGGCAAGAAACATCCTACGACGAGGCAAGTCCTCTGCTCCCAGGGCACGCAACCTCTCAAAAAGCTGGAGAATATAAGCACGATGGCACAGCCTCAGCTATGAGTGTCTTTGGCCTCGGCTTCACAATCATGTGGATCCAAGCTCTCATTCGATGGTTTGCATCTTCTACCGAATTTGTGCCAGCTCCCATCCTAGGCCCTGATGTGATTGAACCATGGCGCCTCGTGTGCCTGCGCATCTTTGAAGCCATCAGCGTTGCAGTTCTTTTTGCTCACATCTGGTTCTGTCTCCTCGTGCCAGCATTCCCTTACCTCGGACACTTTCGGCCGAGCGACGAGCCCGGTCGTTTTACTCTCGACGGCCGTCACGTCGTCGGCGGTTTGATAGCGCTCTGCGCAGATGGCTTCCTCAACAGCCATCAATACATTTTCATGTGGAACTCGAACAGCATCAACCGCGGAGTATGGGCCAAATTTCTCCCGTTCCACAACCACGAGTCGTCTAGTCGCTATGCTGAGAGCCTCCTCTGGGGCCCGCCGATGTATGTGTATTTCTGCGCAGGGTTTAGCATCCTCGGCACCGCCATGGCGAAGCGCATCAGAAAGCGGCTGCCCCAGCTGACCAATGCCGGCCTTTTCACCATTATGTGGGGCATTGAGTTTATGCTGGACTTTGTCATTGAGAACCTGGCTATTCGAATCACCCACGGGTACGGGTACGCCAAAACATATAGGCCGCTCACTCTCTTTCCTGAAAAGGTTTACCAGTTTCCCATCTACGAATCCGTCTTTGTGGCCAGTCTGGGTTGCATTTTCACTGCCATGAGGATGAAGGCCCTCGAGTCGGGCAGGTCTCCTGTCGAGGCGGGTTATGAGAATTGGCCACCACGCCTCCAGACACCTATCAGAACTTTTGCCGTCATCGGGTTTTGCGCAGCGTCCGTGCTGGTGCTGTACCATCTTCCTTTGAATTGGCTGGGTGTGATTGGAGATTGCCATGCAGATATGCCGAGTTACATGAGGCCGGGTCCGACGGAATAGTTGGCGGCAGAGAGTCATATATGCCGCTGAGGTCGCTTTTGATTCTCAAGCACTCGTTCTTTTGACTCCACTTGAAAACTGGTTGAAAGAGGATAGGGATCACATCATTTTAAATACTTGGGAACAAAATTCTGCTATAAAATTTGCGACGGAAAATCAATTGCTCTATTGTCTCGCGTCCTCAAATATCATACGATTCTTGATGGTTCCAATGTTGGAAATGCTGACCTCTACAGTATGCCCATCCCTCAACCATGCCGGTGGCTTCATGAAAGCTGCAACTCCACCTGGGGTACCAGTCAGTATAACAGTCCCGGCGCGCAGCGTGGTTCCGCGACTCAAGTGGACAATGAGATCACCGACACTGAACAAGAGAACGTCCAAGCGTGCCCGCTGCCGCTCTTCGCCGTTAACCTTGGTCACCAGAGTAAGATGATCCACGTCACTCAGCACAGTAGGCGAGACAATAACGGGTCCTAAAGGAGCGAACCCATCAAAGCTTTTGGCGTACCCATGTTGTTGGCCGCTGATTTCCGGGAGTTGCCAATACCGACTGCTTACGTCGTTTGCAACGGCGTAGCCCAGCACATGATTGAGAGCATTTTCACTGGAAGTAGTGTTCTTGCAGTCCTCTCCAATGATTACTGCCAGCTCGCCCTCATAGTCCATGTTTGTGCAATCCGGGTGCACTCTGACGTCTTCGAAAGGCCCGTTCAGTGCATCTGGTGGCTTCGTAAAGACGGTAGGGTGCTTTGGAGTGGGAAAGCCGGCCTCCAGGATGTGTGTCTTGTAGTTGAGCCCAATTCCGTAGATGATTGGGACCCGTAATAAAGGACACAATACCTAGATTCGAGAGAATTGAGATTAGCTATTCAGTTGAATGCTATAGAATCACAATCAACACCTACTTTTGCTACTTTGGCGACTGTTTCAGTAGCTTCCAAGTTCCAAGGATCATGACCGGAATAAACTGGAACCTCTTGACCGGCCAATTCCTCTGAAGATGGCGCTTCCCCATAAAGCACGCGGCCCTCTGTATCTTCAAAACGAATTAGCCTTTGAAATTTGTTGGCCATCCTGCTTGTCACTGTTGCTTAAAATTGAGACAGGAAGAAATCGGGAGAAATCGGAAAAGATTTGAAAAGAAGGTGGCTTTATTGCTAACTGTATCTGAGCTTTCTCTTTCTTATTTCTCTTCTTCTACCCAAATCGGCGACTGGAAGCTACTATGCCCACCGGCCGGAACAAGAAAGACCGGCTCCATTCAGCATCAAAGGCAGCCGGCCCGGGGTTAGCTGGCAACATTCCGCGTCCCTGGCGCATTTAAAGTTCGATATGACTATTTCTTCGACGAGGTTACAGGGACATTCTTAAAGTGACAAGGCTCTGTTGTAAACGAAAATGCAATACTCAGAGTAAAGGCCTCCATACACATATGAACGGGTACATAGAGAAATGTTTACACTGCCCGAGGACAGGAATTACCGGAAGGTGAAACAATACTTCCTTAAGAAAGTTTTCGCGCTAACTATAAATTCAACCCTTTTTTCCCGCTTTATGCATCACCATGTTCACACCACCTTATCCGCTTCAGTCGCCTTGAACCCATCGTCCAATGTAGAGGAAGTCTGCTGCATTGGCGGCAAGAATGTGCACCAGTCTTCCAAGCCAATGAGCGCATCAATTGAAACCATCTGAAGGAGTTGTTGATATTTAGCTTAAATCAATTATTGTCGGGCTGTGGAGAACTTACATCTAAGTTTTGCTCTTCTTGACTTTGCCCATTCGGCTTAGTACAGCTTGCCTGTTGACTGCTTGGTGTCTTGTGTTTTGCCTTGTTCACGAGGTCGCGAGCGTAAGAGGCAACCTCTCTTGGGAAAGCAAGATTGAGCTCTGAAGATGACATCCACTCAAGATATCCAAAATGGCCAACTACGAGATCCAGCAAGAGCAGGTCAGAGGCGGCTGTTGGGGCAAGTGGGTCTTTTATGATACAAACAAAGAGGTTGATCAGGCCAACCAAAGGAAAATAAAATGTGAGCCTATTGTACGTCCCCTGGTCAGCATCTTCTATTGATTGATTTCCATCTTGAAAGCGGTAGATGCCTTGGGCAACACTTACCAGACTGGCAGGGTTGACGTGATTTCAAGCCTCTGAACTGCTAATATGATCTGTCTGGATGATTCTGCAACAGCTGTTGTGCTTTTTTGTATTTGTTCACGGATTGCAGGACTGTGGTTAGTATGGAGATCCGGTCTGACCCAGGGATAGCAAAAGGTCCCGTTGATTGCGATCACCAAGACATGGTAGCAAAAGTGTAGGAAGAGGACGTGGTATATCTGCATGCCCGGGGCCAAGTTCGAAAATTTGAAAGGAGCTTGAGTCTGATATACAGGGCTAAGAGACTCTTTCCATAGCCCAAGTCGCTTGCTCAATTCTTCAACATTGAAAAGGGTCTTCTCGGCAGGTTCGGTCTGGGCCTTTGCACTGTTTAGTGTTTTCGACACCGTGGATGAAATCTGTGCTTGAGCCACTGTCTTGGCAAGAAATTCCGCAAATATGGGCGAGGAAGACCCTGCTGAAGACGGCAGTGGACAATTGACATAGTCGTCGTCAATAGACTGTGATTATGAGACATGCGCGAAACGAGAGAGCAGTTCATAAGACGCAACTTACGGACGGAATACCTGAGCGATAAGCAAGGTGCTTTTCGTAAGAGTACAGACTCCACCAGAGTGCTTGTCTTGTTGAATCATCCTCTGAGGGAACGCAGGTGCCTGAGGGTGTTCGCAAATGTAATCCTCTTGACTGTGCTAGCCGCGTAGCATTCGAAAGTAGAGTAAACTCAAGGGCAGGAGTGCCTAGCGCTTCAGCATGAAATGCCTATTCTTGGTAAGCACATGATATCAAGAGTATTCGGCATGAGTGTATTAGGAAATGGTAGACTAGCTTTCTGGGGTCACACTCGGAACTTGTGTCTGAAACACTGAGACGGTAGACATACCATTAAAAGCAGTGCTTGGATAGAATCGAGGCTAGTTGGCCCGTACAGGAGCTCAGTGTGCACTGACAGGGCATTTTCGAGATATTTCCATGACTGCGTCCGTGACTCTGAAAAGGCTTCAGGACTTCTGGCCTCGCATATCACATAACGACAACCAGATGCATAGATAGTATTTCTCATCGCATACCATCCATTGTTTCTACTCGGGCCTTCACCATGCGTGAAATGATTTCGTAAACGAGCCTCGAAGTCGGATCGATTCACATATTCGAAAATTGGGTCCAGACAATGATCGAAATAAGCTACAGACTTCGAATGAGAACTCATGATGTCATGAGAATGAATGTCTTAGGGTACTTTACCATTGGTCCAGCGTAGCGCTGTGTCCAGATCTGGATCCGGGGCTCTCACGGGGTCGATGAGCTTGTCGAGTCGTTTCTCACGATTGATAGCTGTCGACAGCTGTCTTACACTGACCAGAAAGTCCGACATACCTGATTGTTGCGAGACCCATTCAACAGCAGGAAATGTACATATTGACAAATACGAAGGGCATGTGGTTTCATCGTTATCTGTTGTTTGCGGGCTCTTTTGAGTTGCTCGTCGTTTGCTTTGGTGACTTGAATCGGCATTTGGATTCAACTGCATGTCACTCTCGGCTGGCCGCGTGTCTTCCCATTGAAGACATGATGGATAAGCGTCTGTCACAGCGCTAGGGAAGCTGTTGTCGTTGGTTGTGGCTGAAATGGGCGGCGAAGCAGGCAGCTGCAGCGCGTTGGGACAACTCAATGTATGAGGGTCACTTGCTCCTACCGTCGTTGGCCTAGATGCATTGTTTTGATGCTCTAGTGTTGGATCTATCGGAGTCGGATCGGAGAAAATGACGGGTATGTCGGTGGGTGAAGAAGTCAAGAGAGATTCCAGAGGGTCCTGCTCCATTGGTGATGCATTCCTAGCAACATAGTCGGCCAGGTCTGCGACAACATCACAGCTCGTCCTCCTGTCATCATTTTGTGGCCATTGATTCCTGGAAGACGATGAAAATGCTGTTGCTGGTGAATTGGCGCTCGGAGCGCCCATGAATGACAAATTAGTGAGAGTCCCTTGAGTGGCCGCATGCAGGAGTCTCTCCATCTGCAATAGGCGACTTTCCATCTCTTGCTCCCGTTCCTTTCGCTTCCTTGTTCGTGAACGTTTCTCTGGAAAGATGCACTCCTCATTGTGGTCCTAGAGAAATACAAGGTGAAGTGTTAGCAGGTAAATCATAGTGGGCCCGCTTTGGTGGTATCAGAATTGTAACGGTTTACCAATGGAACGTCAGGTAGTAGTCAGTACACCATATATTGCTATATAGACTGATTCTTGCAGAAGCAAGAATCCAGTGCGACTGTGCTGCGCTAACTATATCCAGCTGTGGCGTCAGCGCCACAGTGGCGGTGCGGCACCGCTGCGCAGTGCCTGTATGGGAGGTTGTTACAATTTCAGGGAATCGTCTGTCAGCTATCCTGATAAGATCCAGACACATGGTTCAGCACTTACATTTTGCCTTCTTGACTCTACAGTACTCGCAAGCGAGTGAACATTTCGTTGTTTCCCGTTGGGCTCCCATTGCAACGTACGCGGACCAGCGATTGTGATTAATATTCAAACCAATGTGAGGACTGGTGTAGTGGAGGAAGAAACTACAGGAATACATGACTGCTAGGTACGTTCTTCGCCATTCTGTGCAGGGGACCGTTCTGAATATTCCCGCCCTCAGAGTCTGGGGGCCCTAGGCATCCCCGCCTGTGGCCACCCACACGCACTGCCTGACTACCACAAGTCTCCGCGCGCGAAGACTGTCATTGGCCAAGTTTGACCAGCTTCGCCTTCTCGGCAATGGCTTTTTGTGTGGGCATTTGCGGGGGAGCGCTGTCTAATGCAACTGTGAGCGGATACTCTTGGGGGAAATCTGGGGAAGCTAGGGGCCCCTGTCTCCTTATACCCATTCCCTCGGCCCCGATCAGGATCCCTGGAATCAAGAATTCCGGCCTCCGGATGATTCAGTAAACAGTATCTGAGGACAAGATGAGTGACCGAATGAAGGAATAAAACTTTACACTGGCATGAGGCCAGTTAGGGTAGGTGGATGCGACCGCAGCCAAGTGATAATTTCCGTTTCCTGTTTGGTAAGAGTACTCGAGTGCTCACAGTAATGCAGCTTTGCCGGGCCTGGCAAAATATCCATCCTACGACCAGGGTAGCGGCCGGGAGACGGTTCTGACTACCCGGCACATGCACAATGTACAGCGTAAAGATTGGCAACATACCACAAACATTGGCACTTTGTAATGACAATTTGTGACCTCGACTATCGATCGCAGGCTCTACTATATCTAATCCTTATACAGTAAATTTCACTATCACGCAGGATGTTACAGGAACAATCACTGGCCAATTTAGCCATCACCATCATTGGTGCTGGCTTTGGAGGGTTGGCCACTGGCATTGAGCTTGCTTTGAGAGGTGCCAATGTCAACATCTTCGAATCCTACCCAGACACAAAAAAGCAGGGTAAGACTTGTGTCGACCGGTCGTACTGGAACAAAGGTGATTAATTTCGGTATAAAATAGGGGATGTGATCCAGATACCAGCGAATGCGACTCGCCTAATGTCCAAATGGGGCAATATGCTTCAGGAAATCACCAATCTGTCGGCTTGTCCAGATACGATGACTATTTCGGACCAGAATGGCAAGATACTCCTGAATCAGCAGCTGCATACCAGTTTCGATGGGTATCCAAATCTGTACAGTCACCGAGGTAGCGTGCAACAGCAAATGTTGGAGTATGCTACTAGCCTAGGAGTGGAAATCCATTTTGGAACTCCTGTTACTGAAATCTCAGAGTCTGATGATGCAGCAACTGTCATTGCTGGAGGAAAAGCGTGGAAATCAGATGGCATCATCGCCGCCGACGGCGTACGCAGCCAGTCGAGATGTCACATCCTTGGCCTTGATGACAAGGCCAAAAAGAGTGGATTCGCCGTCTACAGATCATGGTTCTCTCTTGACTTGCTAGGACAAGATCCTCTAACAGCAGCCATTACAACATCAGAGAAGGATCTCTTCAAGATATGGATTGCGAAAGATACGCATGCGATCTTAACAACGAACAAGGCAGCTAATGCGGCCACGTGCTTCGTCACCCACAAAGTAAGATAAGCTATGCCTCATTTTATAAGTCGTGAAAAAGCTAAAATGGCAAGGATCTCTCAGACATCTCTGAAGACTGGCATGTCAAGGGGAAAGTTGACGATATGCTAGCATGTGTGCAGGGCTGGGATGAGCAGCTTAGACACATCATTCAAAAGATCACACCAGACTGCCTCATTGATCATAAACTTCTTTGGAGAGACCCTGTCCCAAAATGGGCCTCCGACGGCGGCCGTATCTGCATTGTTGGCGATGCAGCGCATCCACATCTCGCAACATCAGGAACAGGTGCAGCACAAGCTATTGAGGATGGTGCGTGCATCGCGACTCTTCTGCAAAAGACTTGCCATAAGGGAGATATTCCCTTTGCTTTCCGAGCCTACCAACGACTGAGGTGAGTTTCTGAATCATTGGTAATACTCCGTAAATACTCATATAGAGTAGATACGAACGAACTAGTTTGACCCAAAGGATGGGGTGGGAGACAAGGCATGTCTGGCACCAGACCGATTGGGAAGCTGTAGCTGCCAACCCGTCCATGCTGAAATTTCCCCAGCCAGAGTGGCTGTTGGGTTCAGATGCCTCCGAGTATGCGGAAAAGAATTTCGAGGCAGTCAAGGCTCATCTGGAGAAAGGCTCGGCCTTCACGTCCACCAATGTTCCATCTGGACACGCTCATAAGGACTGGACTATTGATGAGATGTTATCACATGAGGGGAAATTTGTGTCCACTGAGTTCTATCAGACTCGAGAGTAAACTGATTGTATCACATTAACCCCGCAAATTTGTTTGCTACATGTACGGCCATTGAATAATCATTCCATTTTGTTGTCATGGTTGGATCCACACATTGGATCTCCAGAACACAGTTTTTGCTACCCCCTTTTTACGGGCCAGATTCAAGCACCGTACCACCATACCTATACGGATGCCTAAAGGCCAAACTATTGAAAAACCCCAAATTCCAAGGGTTTTTTTTACGTTCGCCCCTTAATATAATATTTTATTATAGCATATTTAGGGTATTTTTATTTATATATAAATTTTATAATATAAACGCAAATATATTATTATAAAATATATTTTTTAAATTTATGCGTTAGGCTATAACGCGTTAATAAAACCTTGCGGCCGGCTTAAGCTATTACGGGCTGCTACGGGCTATTACGGGCTATTATACGCTATTACGCGCTATTACGCGCTATTACGGGTTATTAGGCGCTTATACGGATTATTAAAAGATTTTTTACTTATTATAGCTATTTAAATTTTTTGCTCGAGATCCGTTAGCAAAAACCTTTTTTTTTTAATAATTAATAAATTTAAAAGTAAATATAACCCTAACGTTTTTATTTATATAAAAATATACGCGCGCAACGGCTTAAATGCTAATTTTTTTACGTTTTTTATTTCCCGATTATAATTTTTTAAATTTTTCTTTTTCCTTTTATTAATAACGGGAAATACGCGGGTACGCGTAAATTTAAATTATATAAATTATTAATATATATAATTTAGCAAATTTCGATTCGTATTTTTTTTAATTTTATATTATTAATATTAAATAAATAAAAATAAACGCGATTACGCTAATATTATAGCTTTTTTACCCGTTTTTAAAAAATGGTTTTTTAATAAAGCTAAATTTAAACTCCTTAAAAACGCCGATATTAATTCCGCTATAACGTATATAAATATAAATGCTATTATTATAATTATTATAAATATTATTTATAAATTTAAATTTTAAATAACTATTAATATTTTATCGAAAAATTAAATAAATTTATTTATTTTTATATATTTGCGCTTATTTTTATATAATATTTTAAAAGCTTATTTATTATTTTAAGCTAAAAATAATTAAATAAAATTAAAATAATAAAATTGCTAATTTTAATTTATTTCGCTAAAAGCGTTATATTACCGTTATAATTTATATATTTTATTTTAATAAAGCTTATATTATTTTATTTTTATTTATTTACGTTTGCTAACCCGCGGTTTTTAGGCGATAATAAAAATATTTATTAATAATATTTTAATTAGTTTTATTTTAAAGGTTTTTATAAAAAATGCTTTATTAATATAAAAATTCGCTTAATCCCGCTTATTTCCGTTTATTTACCGTTTAATAATTTTTAACCTTTTTAACGGTATTTATATTAATTATTATTATAATAGCCGCGGTAAAAATTATTCGTATATAATTAAACGTAAAAAAGGTAAATTTTTTTTTACGGTTATAGTTATTTACGCGTATTAATATTTATTATAATTAAATAATTTAAGCACGATAACGTTTAAAAGCGTAAATATGCTAATATTAAGCGTTACGGTAAATACGACGGCACCCGCCTTATTATTACCGACGCAAATTTATTTAATATTATTATCGTTAAGCTTATAAGATTTTTTTTTTAATCCCGCGCGTTTTTGCGCGTTTTTAATTTATTATACGTTAATACGTTTAAAAAAATTTGGCGTTAGCGTATCGACGGCAAGCTTATTCGTTATTGTTAGCTTTACGCTATTTTTATTAAAATTTAAAACCGTCGCCGTAATTTTAATAGCTGTTGCACGGATGTTAATACAGCATCGTATAATGCATAAAATTAGCTTTATAACGCATATTATATCGTTATAACAGCTATAAAACCCATTAAGATATCGTTAAATAACGATATATAGGAAATCAGTAGAATTTACCTTATACTAACCTATAATTAATATAGCACTATTTATAGCTATTATTTATAATATTATATAGCTAATAAATTATTATAATTAACTATTATAGCCATTATAATTATTAGAACCTATTGGAATTTAGTAGAACGTTTTATTGGATTTAGCCCCACTAAATATAGCTAGTGCATTTGGCTATAATAGCCCTGGGTTATAAGGTAACCTATATTATAAAAATTTATAAATTTTGATAGTTTTTTCGATTATAAATTAACCTTATTACTAATTAATTTAATTTATAATTTAATTTATTAGTAATATATTTTAGAATATTTTTATTAGTTAATTTTATACGTATAAAAAATAGTTATTTTTTTATAATTAGTTATTTTTTCCTTAAGCTTTAATAAATTAGTTATATAGCCTTATAATTATTTTTACGGCCTGATTTTACGAATTATAAAGAACGCTTCCTTATGCCTAAGTTATATAATTTACTAATTATATTTTAAAATAGGTTATAAGCCTGGTCCGGTATAATATCGATTATATTTAGATACCGGATTTAAATTATATCGAAAATTATAGCCGCTTTCCCGGACGAATTAATATAACGTAGACTCCGGAATTCCGTTATAATAGCCGATTTTATAAGCTTTATTTTAAGCTTATATAGCCGTAATTATATCGAAAACTATAGTTAAATGGCTATTTATAGTGATTTTACCCGTTATAGCTATATAACGGCTATAAAATCACTTATAATTAGTCCCTATTATAATAGCCGATCTGCTATAGCACCTTATAGTATTTATTATATTATATTATAGCATTTAGATCCCTTTATATATTTTATCGATAAAATAAAAGAATTAATTTTTTTTATTTTTATTTTTTTAACGATTCCTTTACCGTTTTTAACGATAATTATACCGTTATAACGGCGAAAATTCGGTAAAATAAATAATTTTATCCGTATTATTACCGGATGCTAAATACCGGAGAAATAGAAATTTTCCGGATCCGGAAATTGGAATATATAAAAATCTACGTTATAGTTATATTTTAAACTATTAGGAATCGATCGGTTTTTTAAAATTATTAATATATATAACGGTATAACCGATATTTAAAAAGCCTAAGCATTATTTTTAATTCGTTAAAATTTAATAACAAAACCGTTAAATTTAATATTCGATAAAATAAATTTATATAAAGCCTTATCGATTTTATAATTAGCTTATTAAGGCACCGGACTTATATTACGTTAGTAATTATATTTTAAATTTTATATTATAAAATTCGAAAATTATAATTTATTAAACGAATTTATATTTATTTTTAAAAGATATATTTTAAAGCTTTTAAGCGTTAAGGCTAAAATCGATAATATCGATTAAAAAACGATTTTTATTATAGCCTTTTAATTAGCTTACCTTATATAGGCTAACCGTTAATATAATATTTTACGGTTTATAAATTTATTTATTTTCGAAAGGTTAATTACGGATATTTTAAATAAAAACTAACGGAATCCGGATACGGCTATAGGAAATTTTTATTATACGGATAATAAAAAATCCCGGTTCCCCCGATTTAATTAAAATTAATAAAAAACCTAAAACGGAAATAAAAAAAATTTGAATAAATTAAATAAAAAAAAATCGAATAATTCGAATAATTTTAATAATTCGAATAATTCGAATAAATCGAATAATTTAAATTCGACTATATTTATTATAAACCAAAAATCTAAAAAACGGGGAAATTTACCTTATAACGAAAATTTAAACGAAAACGAATTATTTTATATTTTTTCGAATATTTCGAATAATTTAAAAAAAAAATTAATTTTTTTTTTAAAAACTAATAATTATATAATACGGGTTTTTTAAAGCATATATTAAATAATAAGAATTTATTCGATAATTTTACTATAAAATCGGATTTTATACCGATTATTATAAATAATAAAAAAATATTTTTAAAAAGAATTAGAAATATTACGCTTTTTTTCGAAATTAACCGGGAAATATATAAAATAACGTTATTAAATGTATTTTACGTATCGGAATTTCCGCTAAATATTATATCCGGCTAATTATATTATTAAAAAGGCGGTATTATAAGCGGAAATAAATTATATAATTTTAAAAATAAGCCTTTTACTACGTTAAATTAAGAAAAACGTAAATTTTTTTTATATTTAGCTAATAAATTAAAGCCTAATATAGCATATTTAGCTATAAATCTATTAAAAATAATAAAAAAAGCCCGTATAATCGGTTTAAGTTACCCGGAACCGAATTCGGATACGAAATTTAACGAAATTATAGATTTCGAAAAAATCGAATTAATTTTTAATTATTCGAATTTTTTTATAGCTATAAAAAATAATATAAATAATTTAGCTATTTTAATTACGATATTTTAGCTAAAATTATTAAAATAATTACGGGAATTCCTAAAAAAAAATTAAAAAAAAAATTTAAATTGCGAATTTTATATTTTAGGAAAATTTACCCGAAACTAGCTTTATATAAATCCGAATAAAGCTAATAAACCATTATATCGTATTTATATTAATACGGTTTATATTATTTTTTTTAGCTATTCCGGTTATAAATATATAATTAATTTTACGGATAATAAAACCGGATTTCGGGAAATTAAATTTTTTAAAAAAAAATCTAATATATTTATAATAGTTAAAGGAGCTTATAATCTAGGGTTTCGATATTACCTAATAGAAGCGGTATATAGGTATAAATAAATAATTAAAAATAATCTAATTTTATATAAATAAAATAAAAGGTAAATTATATTTATATACCTATTTAGGAGCTTTTATAAAGCTTAATTAGTTTAGTTTAAAGATCCCTTTGAAAATTATAAGTATATAGAATAAATATCCCGTTATATACCCCTTAAATTAATCTAGCGTTTTAAAAAAGCTTAAAAATTATATATTTAGGATATATATTCCTAATTTTTAATATCTAATTTCGGTTTCTAATTTTTTTAGGCGATTAAATAATTATTTAACTAAAAACCTAGTTTTTATTAAT